AAAATTCGATCATCGCGCTCAATTAACCGGTGTCTATTTAATGTAACTCGCTCGTCGCCCGCGGGGAGGCGCCCAAAGCGAGACCGCGTGGTCTCGCTTCGAAATGCACTGATGGGCATCGAAGCGCTCGCTCGGATTGAAAGTGTCCCTCCCTCCCCCCCCCCCATTACGTGTGTTTAGTCTCGCCTCTTCACCATTGTTGTTGCGGTAGTCGGTCGTCCCTTTGACAAAGCGGCATCATTCATAAGAGTCGCGTACGCGACGCTCGCGAGATACATGTATCGGGTGTTTCGGTTGATCTTCAGGGTCGACGGTGAGTGGATTGCTTTTAAAGATTAGTTTTTTTCTATCCGTGGAATCCATAGCCAGAAAAATCGGAGAAGACTGCGGCCAAATGCAAATATTTTGAACTAGTTTAAATAACAAATAGTCCATTCACATTGTCGAGTTTGGAAATTAACCGAAACCTGATACATTTCTTCGAGGTATCGTGACGATCTACCGAGCTTGTGTGTGTTTTGCTCTTACATCGCGTCGCATTAATTTAATGCGTCTGCCGTGACGTCTAGATCCTGGAATAAATTCTTTTCTTACGCAAGGATAAGCCGAACGTCTTCAACAATGGCTCTTGCCGCACGACGCATCGCTCAGAAACGAAGCAAAAACGGGGTCGGAATAGCAGCGCTGGACACAATCTCGATTCAATTTTCAAAAAATCACTCTTTATCCTACAAACATTGATTCTTTTTATCGATCCTTTTCAGCTTGATTTGATTCGATAAGTCGATTCTTCTCAATCGAGCCATTTCGACCCATTGATATATATTCATCAGTATTGTTCCGTTTGATGAAGAATTCAACTGGGGTTAACGTTCGGAAAAATCAACTTGTACAAAAGAGCCGAACGAGGAAAAGAACTTAAGCAAAATTTAAAATTAAAGTTAAAACGTTGAATTTAATTGATTAATTATTTAAATGCAAAATTTCACAGAACCGATTTTTCGAGAAGAAAGATCGAAACCGAGATCGTCTATCACTTTATAACTCGCGACACGCCGCGAAACATGGACAATCTCCGTGTGAGATAAATAACTTCGGCCGACTAACGACGTTTTCGGGAACTGTTCCCTTCTGACACTCGCGACGCGAGTGCAACGATGGGTGCATTCACGACACTCAACGGTTGTGCAACTGTTGAGTGATTTCGTCCTGAATCGCTACTGAGCGATGCGCTCACTCGCAACATGTTGAGTGAGCGCTCGCCATTTTTCTCATCATAAATATTTGTCGCTACCTTTCTACCGATCAGTCTCCGATCCAACATGGCGCAGTCCATGAATAAAGAAAATAACAAAAAGAAATAGTCATGTAAATCCAAATATATATATAGCGGGGAGACACATTAGCGTGTAGACGGGCCGTGATATTTAGTACGTATATCTGACATTTTTGCCGCGCAACAAAATCGCGCAGAACTCTGATCAGTTGCGTTCAGTGTACTGCTTTTCTACTGCTCACTCATCGGATGCTCAAGTGTTGTGCAACTGTTGAGCTTGAACGTGAACGCACCCAATGTCTCCTTCGTCTCCTTGCACGTGTGCAACGGTGTGCTTCGAAACCGTGAGGAAGAACGCGTCTGCGCTTTCGGCCGGCGCGGCGGCCTGTCTGCGAGCCGCGTCGAAGTCGATCGATAGAGAGAGACGCGAAGGAAAGGAACAAGTCTCGGTATCCCCTCGCCCTGCCGAGCGCACGAGGAGCATCATTTAATCTCCACGCTTTCCTGTTCTTTCCGTTCGCGTGCCGCGATTTTCTCGTCCACCCTCGTTAGAGCCTCATTCTCCGCGGCCGCGCAGACACACGCGATCGCGTTTCCTCGCGAGATTCTTTTCGCAGTCTGTCTCGCGCGGGAAACGCGGGAACATCTCTGTCGCTTGTCGGTCGCGTCGTTGTCGTCCGGGTTTTCTCCTCCGAAAATTCACCTGCAGTGTGCACGCGATCGGCGATCGATCGCAAACGGACGGGGATCGCGAGTGCAGGCGCTGTGCGCTGAAACGGCCTGTAGCTGAGGCTTCGCCAGTTGAAGACTTGGGCGCGATGAAAGTCTCCGCTGGAGATGCAACAATTTCTCAAAATATCGATAACGATATTATCGTCATTTAGAACCATCAATAACGATAATATCGATATTTATATCGATATCTATATAAAAAAATGTATACATATAGGCGTATGCATATATAAAGAGTATACACGAAAAATTTGGAAAGATCTTTTAAAAATTTTTATCTTCATATAATTTATTGTCTTCTTATTCTTATTAGAAAATATATAATAAACCGCAGTCGTTTGCCGGAGATCACCGCATACATGAAGCAGGAGATCTATTACGGTTCAACGATCGAGGTCAAAAAGGGTAAAAGTGAGCGAATTTACTAGACATCGATCAATCACATAATATATATTCTAGTGAATTCACTTTTTTTAATTAATTTTCATCTCGGTCGTAGAACCGTAATAGGCCTCCGGAGCTGTTGTAACTGAAGAATACGAAATATCAGTAAAATTCATATCGATATTATCGGAGGTAAAAAAATATTGATAAATTTGTCTTTCGATATTTCGATATTATCGATTTATCGTTGCATCCCTAGTCTCTCCGGGCCCCGATTAATCGTTTCGATCAAGTGGATCCGGCAAATTGGACGTTAACCGACGGAGCGATGCTCGTGCAGCGAGAGCGCGATTACTCCCAGCACTCGTCGGAACCCTTCAGTCCCGGGACTTCAGGTAATCATTAGCACGTTGCACTGCTCGACGTGTCTCGCCGAACAGCTGTGGGACGTCGTCGGCGACGTGTAAAATTTCAGTGAGAGTTCTCAACTCGTGCAAAACCGGAGCTTAACTTTGGGTGACAACATATGCCGAGACTTGGGTCAACATTGTTCGAGAAAATTAGGATTTCCAAACAATGTCCACGAATCACGATAAAGCACTCGGATGGCGGAGAAACGATCCTCTGAAGGGAAGAAACGAGGTCACGAGGTGTCGATGATACCGACAAAATTATCTGTGACTGATCGCACGCTAATGCCCAATTTCTTCATCTGTTGATAAATTGTCGATAATTTTATTCATGAGATATCTGCCAGAATCGGTTTTCTTCATCTTTGTAAAGTTTGTATTCGACAGATAAACTTATCTGGTACCTGAAATAACGGAGATATCTGGCAGATATCTGTATTCCAGTGCCCTGATATAATTAAAAAATTACAATAATACGTAATCTGCTGTTGCTGTTTTTATGAAAACACTACATGGATTAGGTTACTCATGAATATTAATATTTTTGAATCTGATGATAATGATGATGATGAGGAATTTGTGAAAAGAAGACCCTATACGATAAGGAATAAACCGAACAATTCTCAATGTGTGGAATGACACAGAATTTTTCGAACGATTTCATTTGAAAAAGAATATAGCGCTCGAATTATTACATGCAATTGAAGACCGATTGTTGATACTGTGGAAATTACTTTAATTAGTTAATACCAGCCCGGAAATTTTGTGTCAAAACGCTAGTAGCGTGAAGAATAGCTGTCTGTTAGACACTTAACCACAGGTTTCAGTGAAGAATACGAATTTTTAGTTATCCAACGGATATCTTTATCTGGAAGATAGCTGTTGTGAGGTGTGAAGAAACCGGGCATAAGAATCGGAATGTACAGACAACGCGCGATGTTGATAGAGAAAAGAGCGATGATTGAGATTTCAAAGGCGGTCACGCGAGATGTTGTATGCGCACCTCTTCTTCTGCGCGTCGGCAGAGGTTAAAAAGCGGGTTCAATGAATGCGCGAATCCCTGTCCCCCCGCCTGCCGGGACTTCACAATAGAATTACCCGCGTTCTAAACCGTCGCCTGCTAGCAGGGGAGATTATAAATAGCGGAAGATCGATTATCGATAATGAAATAACAACACACACGCGCACGGCGAGATCTAACACGCGCGGCTGTGTTCCGTCGTCACAGGCGTGGAATTTCCGCTCGCGATAATGTATCGCGATATTTTATTGATAAACAAGAATCGCTGATCGCGATAATCAGCGCGAGGATCGAGGATTGATCGCGGCGACACCTAATTCTCCGCGCGTCTAATCCCCCCCCCTCCCCCACGAGGTTCATTCCATGACTCTCGCGAATGGACTCGCGGGGATTTTCGCGTGCCTTCGCGCAACGTCGAAATCCGAACCCGTTGAAATCCTATCGGCTTCAATCGCTGTCGCATAGCGTGTCACCTCGATACGCAAATAGACCGTGCGCGAAACGTCGTTCGACGGAAGAAATATGATACCGTCAATTGTGTGCGCCGTATACAAGCCGCTGGGAATTACAGTGTAGAGCACGCAACTTCTACCCGAGCGCGGCGTAAGGTGTGACTGACTTACTTTGTTAAAATGCGAGATCGATAGTAAAAGTTAAATCGAAGCTCCGTTTACACGTGTCTCTCTCTCTCTCTCTCTCTCTCTCTCTCTCTCTCTCTCCGCGTAAAACGCGTAACGCAACATCATCTGCGTAAAGATGCAAAGAGATATCTGCGTGAAAGGTATGGCATAACAGCCGTGTAACACAGAAATAATTTGTGTTACACGGACAAGTTGTGGGGTATAAAAGTTACACGCACTCATAGCGCCCGATCGAAGAAACGATAGCACGACAACGTCGCGATAACGTCGAGAGTCGTGAGACTCACCACCACTGCGATGACTACAACTACACCTTTGTGGCACCCTTTGTAGAGCACACTTTGTATCATAATATTTTCCCACAAAGCAAGATGTCAGTGAAGAGTAGTCTGTGGAGCATCGCTTACACACTGTCTAGGGCTTAAGTGTAATGGTCCGGCCTCTCTGTACTTATTTGCCATGTTATTTCTTCATCGAGACACCCGGCTCGGCTCGACGCAGGTGCGTTTTAATAACGACATTTCGTTCTGTTGCAGTCCTATGTAGCAACCGGGTGAGCCAAATGACCAAGACCTATAATGATATAGAGGCAGTTACAAGGCTTCTAGAGGAGGTGAGTTCCAACGGGGTGTGATAAACAGCAGCTAGTAGAAGCCGAGTCCGCGTTGCACGCGCGTCCTATCGTTAAAATGTTACGACTCGTAAGATCCGTATCTGAGACGTCTAGAACGAATTGATAACACGTAAGAACACATCGATAAACACTGACTGCTTAAATAACGGTCAAACGGAGCCGTTAGAGTTGCATTCCACGTTAATTTCGGCTATCACTCTCTCTCTCTCTCTCTCTCTCTCTCTCTCTCTCTCTCTCTCTCTCTCTCTCTCTCTCTCTCTCTCTCTCTCTCTCTCTCTCTCTCTCTCTCTCTCTCTCTCTCTCTCTCTCTCACTCTCACTCTCACTCTCACTCTCACTCTCACTCTCACTCTCATATCATCTGGCAGTGCCCAAAACTTCGCACTTTCAAAATAGAGAGTAGGTCGAAGAGTGATATTCTTCAAAGTGTATTAGAAGTAATATTAGAAAAATATACAGAAGATATTGGAAATATAAGAAATAATAAATATATCATCTTCCAAGAGAGACCAACAAACGCGTAACCCTGGCAGGATCGTTAATCGATTAAGCCCCGATCGCAAACGAACGCGCGCGGAATTAGCAGGCGGAATAACACGACGAGGTATAAAAAAAAAGACTGTTACGTTGTTTCTGCGACAGAAAGAAAAAGACTTGGAGTTGACGGCGCGTATCGGTAAGGAATTGCTGACGCACAATCAGAAACTCGAGAGCACGGTAAACGCATTGGAGACCGAGCTGAAGGAGGCGAACGAGAAGATCACGCAGTTGAACCATGAGCTACTGAAGAAGACCGAGCTGATACAGATACTGACGAACGATGTGGACGAGTCCAGTTCGGAAGCGGGAACACCCACAGGCCTCCGTGGCATCAACTTGGATATGTTGCAGAGGAAGATCAACACCCTGGAGGACGAGAACAAGCAGCTGCGCAGCGAGTTCGCCAAATTGGCGCACGATGCCGACGATTCCGAAGAGCAGGAAGCACGCCTCGTGAAGGACATTACAGCGCAGTTAGGTACGTACGCAGTACGTTTCAAGTCGATTGCTTAAATAACCAATCAGCTTTGACGAACAGAAAAGCGAATAACCCGCTCTGATAGTGAATAAAAATTATAAACGTTATTAACGAACATTCAAACACAGAAGAAGGGGAGGAAGCCCGTATATTGTTGCAACCTTCGGTAAATTATATTGCAGTAAGTGCCAACATGGAGGTGGACGGCATAGCGGAGGAGCTCGGCCGTCAGAAGGAGGAGAACCGGCTACAGCATGAACAAATAGTCAGTCTCACCGCAAAATTGGCCGAAACGGAGCTCAGGCTCGCGCAACTGATGGCGGAACACGACGAGGTGGGAGCGACTCTAGTCATCACTAGGGATAATCAAAATACATTGGCCAGTGAACTAGCTGAATTCAAGGAGCGATACGCGGAGGTACGTATTTTCCCAACTTACAAGTGATAGGAAAAAGGAAAAATATAAACGGAAGCAGCAGTTGTTGAAGCATCATGCACGTGAATCGCATTGCTAATAAAAAAACAGCGCCAATAAAAAGAAACTCGATGATTATATCAGGAGCTGAATGGTCGTTTATTAATGTGTGTACTCTAAGTGAAATATGTTCTACGTTGCTTGTACATCAGGTGGTGAATTTACTGGCTGAAACACAAGAGCAGTTGCGAAAACAGAGGAAACGCGGGATGCCGACTGTACGCGGTGGCCCCCTGTTCCCGTCGATGGGCGCGGCCCCTCAGCCGGATTCTATCGCCTCGGAACTGGAATCGTCCCTTTATTCGGAATTCAGCGTTGACTCTGGCATCAGTGGTGACAGATTGTACGTTATCAAGCCCTTGTTGAATTCCATTATCGTCAAACCGAGGAACTGAACGCAATACGTTTCTCTCGTATACTCCAAATGAATCGGTTAGCTTTGGTATATGTTTAAAAATTAATGAAGCACTCTCTGTGCTATCTTTGTCCCACAGACCAACCTATAAGAAAGTGTTTGAGACTGTCCGTAGCGCCTCGCGGGCGTCCCATGTGACAAGTATGGACCCTAACCACTTCCCCAGGATAGGCTCCATGACGACGTCCACGTTATCCAGCAGTTCCGCTGGTCCGCGAATGAGCTGTGGGCAAGTGCGACCCCACGCGTCTACGTATCCCAGTTTGGACTCCGCTGGACACAGCGATAGCGAGGGATCTCTCCTTACGGAGTCTGAGGATTACCCGTATGTGTTCATTGTTTCTTCACAACGAGGAGCGAATGTTCCTCGTAAGACGAGCGAACTAATCCTAACGAGTGAAATCCAATTGCTTGTTGCAGAGGACCACAACGAACCGGTGTACCAGGTGCTCCCGGCGCAGCTGATCTAGAAGCCGCTCTGCGTCGTCTGACGCCGGCCGAAGTGTTAGCCAGGCGTGCGTGCCTCAGCACGGGCGCCGGTTACAATTACGATTACGACGGTGGCGCGCATTCGCCGCCGACGTTCTTGCCTTTTGGCTGTCGCACTCCCGACAGCATCATGTCCACCGGCAGCAGCGGTAATCTGAGCGGCTTTAGCGGCAACAGCGGTAACACCTGGCGTATACCGGAGAAACTGCAAATTGTTAAGCCGATGGAGGGGTCTCAGACGTTACATCACTGGTCGCAGCTGGCGACACCGACACTGGGCGGCCTGTTGGAAGACAGACCGGGCGTGAAGACCAGGGGCGGTCGCGGTCTCGAGGATCTCGGCCTCGTTACGTTCACATTGAGCGACCTGGAGGAAGACGAAGAGTACACCAATCCGGGTAAATTGTTCCAAGACACTGGCTCCGTTTACACGTACACCAACAGCACGGTGCTGCATCCGGACGATCATACCAGTGTGACGCCGAGCATCGTCGGCAGTCGAGTCGCCACAGCGCCCAACAGCGGCATGAATTCCGGCATGAGCACACCCCGCACGCTCAGTCGTCGCAACTCCACGTCGACGTTCTCCACTACGCTCGGCCTGGCCAAGATGTTGAACGAGAGAGGAATCAAGGCCGTGACGCCGTCGTGCGTAGGCACGCCGTCCTGTGTGGCCACGCCCACTGGCGAGCGAAATTTCACGCCGACCGCTACACCGTGTAATAGTCCGGACGCGAGTCCACCGCCTACACGGTCGACGTCGCCACCCCCGGAGACTAGCAACACCCTGTCGTTGGGACTGTTCAGTAGCGGAGCAGAGTTACTGAAACGTACCTTCAGCCATGAGTCGTCGACGGCCGCAGCTCAGTCCAAGAAAAAACGACCGAAGCCGGCGCTCTCGCGCTCCGACAAGAAGGCTCTCACGGGTATACGCCTGGTGGAGAAGCTGGAGAGGATCGGAATCGACACGATCATGGCCACTACCATCTCGTCGATCTCGCCATTGGCGCTACACGGTGCTCTGTATACGCGTCGCTTGACTGAAAGTCCGATGGCACAATTGACTTTCCTCAAGACCTCGATGTCCTCCAGTACCAGCCAAGAGAAGCTAATATCTCCCTCGTCTTCGGCATCCTCCGTTAGCGGCGAGTTCCTGCCAGGCAAGCCGCCGTTACCGGTCAAACGGAACGGCAAGGACGAGCCCGAGACTGGCGGGCGGTCCGGCTCTAATGCATTTAACTCGAGGTCGGGTCGACAACGACGATCGGGTGCTAAAGCGACGAGACCCGACCTGGGGCAAGTCAAGCCGCCGGTTTCGACGCCCGTCACTAAAGAATCCGCCGCGCAATCTGCATTAGGCACGATAAGCTCACTTCTTTTCGGCCGTAAGGGTGGCTTATTGTGAAGACTTGGTAGAATCTGTAATCCGAAGGGCGGATCGGTCGGTGTATCAAATGAGTTCATTTCTAATCTATTTGAGAAAAAGGAAGCTCTTTTTTTTATTACTTAAAAGTTTTCGGTTCACGCGTTCACTGGGTGCTATACGCGCCTGTCGGTGTCGTCGCGCGCTTATCCGTATAACCGTAAGTTTTCAGCAAAACACTGCAACGGTTCATCCACGAAAGTCGAGTTTTCAAAATATGCTGTTGATAAGTGCGTCAACTCTGATGGTCTATACGATTCGGGTCGCTAAACATAGCCGCACTGCATACGTTGAGCATAAAATCATTGTATTTTAGATTTTATCTCGAAAAGGGGGAAAAGAACGCAATGAATTAAGGACAAAATTAGTGTTGAAGGGCAGATTTTTCATAGTTTGTGATATACGAGGGGAAATCGGCACTAGAGGTCAAAGAGAAAGATATTCCAAAAAAAAAAAAAGAATCACTACGACATTGCAATTACGTTGAAAATACGTATATACATTTCCGGTAATAAGAAGCATGAATTGCGAGAAACGATTTAGAGAGGGAAAAAAGGGAAACTATAATGGCAGGGTAGTTAGTGAGATTAATAATAATCATATATTCGAAATTTGCAGCTAACGTTCGGGGAAAACGAACATTATCGACACATATAAATCAGTAATTTACAACGGGGGATGGAGTGCACAGGGTGATACATCGCTCTATGATACAGCATTTTATGCGTTTTAGCACAACATAATTCCATTTTGGTGCTGATTTATACATATATATATATATTTTTTTTTTTCCGGCGGATGCCTGATAATGATGAGATTGCAAGGAGCCCGTAGCAGCATTGCCAATGCTATTGTCAGTCTTTGCACGCGGAAGATTGCGCATTTAGCGTTGATTCACAAAGTACTGTACATAGTTGAATAAAAGGCAGTTACTAGAAGCCGGCTCGGACGCCTCGCCGTTCTTAGTCCTGATTTCTTTCGTGATTCGTTTAATTTATTGCAACTTCGTTTCCTGCAGATGGGACTGAGTTTTACGTGTAAGTGACCTACGATGTATTATAGAAGAGTGTTTTAGCTCGTTGCAGCCTTGTACATAGACGTACAAATTAATAAATTAAGTTGGAAAACAACGTGTCGCTATCCTGTCTCGTTTATATCTCCGCTCACATCTCCTCTTCTCGTCGTCGTCGTCGTCGTCGTCGTCGAGACCATTGTGCGAGAGGCCTAAAGAGTTCAGTGAAAGAATGACGATTATACGGCGGATAGCCATGTGTACGCGTTGTTGTAAATAGAATTCGTCGAACTGACACGAACTGACGAATCGATCGGTAGAGGGATGTCATATTTTACTGCAATTACATTTTGTACTGATATTGATGACAAATGCAGGATCAAGCGTAGAACGGGCAGTCTCACTGAAAATGTATACATTTATAACTTGGCCCATTTCAATCATTATTTTATCCATATAGTGCGATATAGCTTCTAGGAATACTTTGGAATGAACATCGAAGGAAATTCTCAAAGCTGTTTGTTTGTACGTTCGTATAAAAAGAGAGCGAGTTGTGTGTTTCACACATTGAAAATTAAGTATCCTGCATGAAGGATTTAGAATGTATTTAGAAAATGCATTTAGATAGTACGTAGAGCCCATTTTTGTTTTCTTCCCTCTCTCCTTCCTCTCCTTCGAATAGCAAAGCACAACGTGCAATATGTTTGTTTCTGCATATTGCATATTGAGTATCAAACGTATCAATAAAAATTGCGGTAAAATCAAGTGAGAATGACCATTCAACGAAACAAAAGGCGCGCAGCACTGTAGATTTCGTTGTTAGTTTTCTATAAGAACTGACGATACCTACGGAGAGCACACAGATGCAACATAAAATATACGCTATGACGTAAGGACATATTTTTCAATGTAATTCGTGATTCTTAGCTTCTTTAAGCGACTTAAATTGCTCAGTCAGCCAATAGATATCCCTACTCAGTTTTCGCAGCGAAGGGACGATACGTGTGTGTATATATATGTAATACATGATGCGTTTTACGAAAACTAACAAGTAGATTGTTTCCCCCGATTACAGTCGCGTTGCTTCTATACGTATGTTCCTGCGGCGAACACAATGTTAGTAGTAAGTAAAGCGTGTATCTCGTCTCACGTATCTCGCTACAGCATACGTTGTTAAATCCATTAACAGTTTTGAGATCGAGGCCTTAGTACCTGTAAAGAAATTTCGTATTTGTTGTCCGATACGTTGTTTTAGATTGTGATATTTTTATGGTAACGTGTACTTCAGTTCTTATGTACTTATTCCGACGATACGTATAGATTTATTCGATCTGCCGATTGTTTTACCCACGTCTACAGTAAGCATGTCTTGTAGGCCCCTTAACAGAAGGTGCTACGTCATTAATTTAGGTTTATGGTATCAGCACTGTAATTAAACAATTGTTACAGTAGAGATTACGATATGTCATACCTACAAATTGAACAATAAATATATTTAAGTACTAACGGTATAATTTTTGTCTCATAAACTGCAGCGTACTGTATAATAAAATTTCAGTACAAAACTCGATAAAGAAATTTTTTATTTATTTATATATTAAAAAAAAATGGAAAGAGAAAGAAAACACAGTCATAATTAATATTATATTTTTAAGTAACCGCACACATGTCATTGATAATTTAATATACTTTTACACATTCTATAAGCAAAATTAATTGCTGATAGAAATAAATACTTGGAATAAAAGATACATTCAATCTCGCAGATGTTTAATCACTAATCTTTGTTGAAATGCCAACATTTGAGTTTTGCTGACAGAATAATATAATTAACAGAGATAATATAAAGATAAAAAACGACGGATTTCTGTGTATATTGCGATAAATTCCTTATATTTTACTAATTTTTTTTCTGTACATAGTAAAGAACATTGTATCTTTTTAATTTTCCTCATACCATCGACGTTTCGATTACTGTGAGCAATGTGAGGAGTGGAACATTCATCTTATTTAAATGCATTCATAGCTTATTCGCGACTTTCCAGAGCTTTACTTTTAAAACTTCAAGGATATATATTGGATATATATGGATATATATTGTGTATATATAGGATATCAAAATATGACTGAAATATTGGGTGGAAACTTAAACACAGTAATTAGGCAGTAAACTTTTCTTTAAACTTTTTATGTAAATCATAAGATATAAAGAACACATATTATTTTTTTCCAGCTATAATTATACCATCGTATTTTTGCTGGAACCACTTCATTGCATCTTCTTTTGTTAGTCTATGTTGGAAGCCGACTTTACCAGTTTTCCTTCTTCTGTGTGCTACATTAAATCCTACAAAATATACATTTAGATAATTCATAAGATCTTTTCTCGCAATTGTTCATGCATAAAATACTAAGCTCAATTCAATTAGTATCACAAATCTTAATGTTAATCTATAAGGATGTAGCCTCAGTTAAGTAACACACTCAGTAAGAGAAGTGGGCATGTGTTGCAAATTTGAAGCATTTTTTCTAGCACATGTTTAACATAATTATAGATATCACATTTAAAACAAGGATATCTATGATACCAGATAAAGTGCAATATCCACTTGTATATGTATATATAATTGCAATTACAACTTGTCACTAACCTGGTCGGCCAAGTACAACATAGAAATCCAGGCCATAAATACCGATGCTAGGATCATATTTAATTCCCAGGTCGATATGTTCTTGTATACCAAAACCAAAGTTTCCAGTACACGAGAAATTCTCTTTCTTCAATTCATATTCACGTACCTGCAATGAAGCAATATATATCATGTAATTATAATGTGAATAGAGAACAAAAATAAATACACATATATATTTATTAATATACCTTTAGGCCACGTTCGAGAATTTCTTCCGCTTTTGCACCACGTACAGTGCAGTGCACAGCTATCTTTTCATTGCGACGAATGCCAAAAGAACGTACAGTATATCTAGCCTTGGAAAATACTGGCTGCTGTCCAGTCAATTGTTCCAGGACCTATATATATTTAACTTTAATTTGTAAACTGTACACTATAACTTCAAAAGAAAGGACCGATGCATTCGTAAAATCTACCTTTGCAGCACGTGTTAATCTATCACCAGATTCTCCTACACAAATGTTTAAGCACAGTTTACGTATTCGTACTTCACGCATCACATTTTTGGATGCGTCTTTCGGCTCCTTCTTTGCCTTCTTCTCTTTCTTCACTACCGGTTTCTCCGTCATTTTTACTGTATCCTACAAATGGAAACAGTCATTAACAATCGCAGATTGTTGGTTATTATTCATCGTTTAAACTGATAGCCTCTGATAATGTAACAGAGTACATTTTATAAATAATTTATATGGATACGAAAAACAATTAATAAGAATAATTAAAGATTAATATAAGGTTTACTAATTTGGCATCTTTTATTATCCGTCATACGTAAGCAGATGCAGATTGGACATAACCACGTGTTCCGTTGTATAAAAAAGTTAAATATAAACGCGCTAATTAAAAACCAATTACCATTGATAATTGGTAAAAATATAGATAATTTTATTGTACAGAAAATATTTAATAATGTTAGATAATATAGAAAATGTTTGGAATAAGGACTAAAGTTTTCATGCCAATATTCCATACGACCTACCGCCATCTTGGAAAGTTCGTCAAGGAGTTACAAAATGTTATATGTGCTACCACAGACTTCTGGCAAAACGTGTCGCAAGTGGAGGGGGTGTATGCCGCCATGATGAAGGTACCAGTGCTCACACAAACAGAAATCACACGGATAGTCACTACTGAAGTCAATATTAGATATTTTAATTGAAATTTAATATATGTAGAAAAATCAAATAAAATAAAGAGAAATATGGAAAGAAATGTGTAATTCTTTTTTTTATTATAAGGAAATATTGTGAAATGTATATATATATATATATATACACGTGTGTGTGTAAAGTTTACTTAATTTACTATTCTCACATATTTATATATGCCAAAAAAGGAAAAATTGATATAAAGTCAGATGAGATTGAATAAAAAAGATCATATGTGTAATGAAGTAGAACCTTTTATATATTTACTTGTTTTTTATTTTTAAACATTATTTCATAACATGTATTTCAACCTTGCATATATAAAATATATATATACATAACATGAACATATATTATACTTATCAGTCAATATTAATGCAGATTTTATTAGCTCAGTCTGCATTATTAATGTCATATTGCTTTTAAAAAAATAGCCAATAGGCCACTTCCACTTTCCATTAAGACTAACAAGCATAAACATCAATGCCTCGGTTGCGATCTTGTCTTTGGAATCCATTTTTCCCAACAGTCCCATATTTCCATAATCAGGTATGCCTACCATTTGATGCTTATAATCATCCCGTATCATTCGTTTTCTAAGTGCCATGGCATCTAACACAAGATTACAATATCGATCATCTGTCGACAGTTTTCCTATCTCGGATAATACGTTTTCATGGAAGCCAGGCCTCTGCATCAACTGACAATAGTAGTTTTCTCAAAGTTGATGGAGCAGGTAATCTGAACATTTTCCTGGAAAATATGTAATATTTTACTAAAAATATATATATATAGAGTTTGCACTAATAATGAACATTAACATTATTTCATTGTAACATATACAAGATGCAATTATTAAGCAATAAAAATATGATCCCATTTTATATTAAAATTGCATTTTTTTCAACTTCACATCAACAATTTGCTTCACCACAGTTTTTTTTCTATAAATAACAGTAACAAATTATTTTTTCATAAATACATGTCAACGATACAATATCAACAATGCAATAAATACAATACCAAGTTTTATTACCATTCACCAGTTACAAGTTAGTTAAATATTAAATTTAAAAAATTTTTAAATTTAACATCTAGTTAAATTGCACACCATGCAAGATTTTATAGAGTTTAAAAATATTTTATAATAGTATGAGCTATTTGCATTGAAGAACAGAACAGAATATTGAAGAAGAAACGAGTTAAAAGCAGAAAATGTTAATAATTAGTTATTTTTTTATGAAAAACAGGTTATTTAATAAAATAAAACTTATGGCCATGCAGCATACAATGTTCTAAGAACGTCTCAAAAAACATACTTAGAATCTTGGAAGATCATTAAGACGTTTGTAGAAAATATCTGTGTTGTTTTAATGTATCTGTAACGGACAATAAGGACATTAAAAAAGAAGGGAAAAAGAAAACCTATTACCTACAAAATGCATAACCTTTTAGTGATGAGAAATACAAGGATAAAGCAAACTCTTTCACCTCATCTGTATAACGTTCACCTTTACTTTTGCGCTTCTGGTTTTTTACTTCATTTTGCATAATTTCGAACATAACACCACCAAAGTGTTCTTTTAGTAATTACAAACTGTCATTATCCATGATTTGCTTTTGTTGTAATTCATTAAGCATTGTTTCCATTGAACTAATCTTTTTATCACGTCTCTGCAACTTCCATTTCAATGTTCTATTTTCATTTTGTAATTTCTTTAAACTTTTAGATTGAACCGTCTCTTCAATAGATGTTTCTTCCTCTGAGTCTGTATTTATTGAGTTGCTTCTAATAGTAGAGTTGCTAATAGAGTTGCTTCTTTGTGTATCGGATATAATGGAATATTCTCCTGGTTTCATTTCAACAGCTATCTGTTTTGTATTCAGGTGTATAACTCCTTTTTCGACAGGTGTATGTGATAATTCCATTAAATTTATGTTCTTTATAGCAGCTTCGTTATCAATATAATTATGATCAATACTGTCAGTCAAGATACTGGTTTTACTATTTTCAATATTGAAAACTTCTTTTACATTTAACAATGTATTACACTGCTCATTTTCTTCATTATTTGAAGACTGGCCTCTTGGCACCGCATCTGGACGTAAAATTACACGAGTATATCCCATACCTGCTATAATATCATTTCTGCTAAAATGCAAACTACATATTTTGCTGTTCTTAGTTGGCTTCCAATTTGGTTTTTTAACTACAGCTATCCATTTATGAAGACGATTTTCATCTTTTAAGGGAAACCTGTAATATTATAAATACAAGATACTATTCAACAAATGACACTATATATCCTGTTATTACCCTGAATAGTTATAAATGCTTTTTACATGGTTACTACAATATTGTACAGATAATTTAAATGATACCTGCATCCTTCACTTGTGCTTTTCTTTCTAAATATAAAGATGTTTCATCTTTACTCATTATTCTTATAAAAGCAGCTCTTCATTTAATCTAACCAAAATAATATATTTCGATAAACAAATACTATACGTACCCAAACAAATGTACACCACTTTTCGATTTCCATTTCATATTACAATTTCTCACACAGCACTGTTTTCCCATCACTTTTTCTTTTCGCTACTTTTTCTTCTAACCTCTTTGATCTTTATTTCTTCACTTTATCCATATGACTAGAGTAGTCTATAATGAAACACGTGACACATCACAGATATTACAAATTCATACGCACGGTACTCTCAATTTGGCGTCTTCACCCCACCATCATCCCATCGCCAGAAGTCAGCAGTCTAGTTAGTATATAGAAGTCTGTGTGCGCTACTAACTGACACCGACTAAGGCCCCTTGCACAATGTCAGGCAACAAACAATAAGCATAAAAATAGACCAATCACAATTGACTATTACAAGAATAATCTATTGTGATTGGTCTACTTTTATTCTTATTGCCTTTTATTATTTATTCAATTCCATTAGAATTCAATTCTCCATTAGAAAGCTGTTCTCCTATTGGATGTCGGACGTCGTACGTCGGACATCGGACGCAGTGTGAATCCTCCATATGGATGTGAATGTGGATGCGAATGCGGATAAGGGTGTAGATGTGGATATGGATGTCGCAGAAAAACGCAGAAAAATACATAAAACGCTAAATAACGCAAAAAAGCGAGAAAACGCTGAAAAACGCAGAAAATTGCAGAAAAACGCGGAAAAATACAGAGAAACGCTAAATAACGCAAAAAGACAAAAAACGCTGAAAACGGAGAAAAATGCGAAAAAACGAAGAAAATTGCAGAAAGACGTGGAAAAACGCAGGAAAATACAGAAAAACAATGAATAAAGCAAAAAGACGAAAAAAATGTTGAAAAACGCAGAAAAACTCCTTTTTCTGCGCTTTTCTTAGTTCTTCTGCGACATCCACGTCTACATCCATATCTGCACCTTCATTTGCATCCACATTCACATCCACATCGTTTTGTTTTCGTCTTTTTGCGTTACTCATTGTTTTTCTGTATTTTTCTGCGTTTTTCAGCGTTTTATTGCGCTTTTCTGCATTTCTCTGTATTCGTATCCACATCCACATCCACATCCACAACCACATATACATAGCTTTTTTTCTTTTTGCGTTACTCATTGCTTTTCTATATTTTTCTGCGTTTTTCAGTGTTTTCCTGCATTTTGTTGCGCTTATCTGCGTTTCTCTATATTCGCATCCACATCTACATCGTTTTTTCGTCTTTTTGCGTTACTCACTGTTTTTCTGTATTTTTGTGCGTTCTTCACGGATATGATCCGCATGATTCACATGATCCACATCCACATCCACATCCACATTATCCACATAATCCACATCCACATCTACATAATCCACATTCACATCCACATGATCTACATTCACATGATTTACATGATCCACATCCACATGATCTACATTCACATGAACCACATTTACGTCCAATGTGGATCATGTGGATGTGGATGTGGATCATGTGGATCAGCAGATGTGGATGATGTGGATCATGTGGATGTTGATATGGATTATGTGAATTATATGGATGTGGATTATGTGGATTATGTGGATTATGAGGATTATGTAGATGTGGATGTGGATCATGTGGAAGTGGATGTAGATCATGTGGATGTGGATGTGCATCTTGAGGATCATATGGATGTTGATGTGAATCATATGGATAAGGATGTGGATCATGTGGATATGGATGTGGATCATGTGGATGTAGATGTGGATCACTTCCAACAGTCTTTATAGTATCTCGTCGGTACCAACAGTCTTTATAGTATCTCGTCGGTGTTTTTACATTTCTATATTGCATATCCCGCCAGAATCCAGGATACCTCCTCGATCATTATATTCCCCCGTTACAAATTGCGAAAGTCGAGAAAATGATAAATTTCAAATTTGTTGCCAGAATCCGAGATATCTTCTTGATCATTATATTCTCCAATTACAAAATGCGAAAATCAAGAAAAGGAGAAAATTCCAATCTCCCGCCAGAATCCGAGATACCTCCTTGATCATTATATTATCCTGTTACAAATTGCGAAAGTCAGAAAAATGAGAAATTTCAAATTTCCCGCCAAAATCCAGGATATCTCCTCAATCATTATATTATTCTGTTACAAATTGCGAAAGTCAGGAAAATGAGAAATTTCACTATTTCCCGCCAGAATCTAAAATACCTTCTCGATCATTATATTCTACCGTTACAAATTGCGAAAGTCGGGAAAATGAGAATTTCATTATTTCCCGCCAGAATCTAAAATACCTTCTCGATCATTATATTATCCTGTTACAAATGCGAAAATCAGGAAAATGAGAAATTTCAAATTTGTTGCCAGAATCCGGGATATCTTCTCGATCATTATATTCTCCTATTACAAAGTGCGAAAATCAGGAAAATGAGAAAATTCAAATTTCGCGCCAGAATCCGAGATACTTCCTCGATTATTATATTATCCTGTTACAAATTGCGAAAGTCAGGAAAATGAGAAATTTCATTATTTCCCGCCAGAATCCGAGATACCTCCTCGATCATTATATTCCCCCGTTATAAATTGTGAAAGTCGGGAAAATGAGAATTTCAAATTTCCCGCCAGAATTTGAAATACCTTCTCGATCATTATATTATCCTGTTACAAATTGTGAAAATCAGGAAAATGAGAAATTTTAAATTTCCTGCTAGAATCCAGAATACCTCCTCAATCATTATATTCCCCCGTTACAAATTGTGACAGTCGGGAAAATGAGAAATTCCAAATTTGTTGCCAGAATCCGGGATATCTTCTCGATCATTATATTCTCCTATTACAAAGTGCGAAAATCAGGAAAATGAGAAAATTCAAATTTCCTGCCAGAATCCGAGATACCTCCTCGATCATTATATTCTCCCGTTACAATTTGCGAAAGTCGGGAAAATGAGAATTTCACTATTTCCCGCCAGAATGTAAAATACCTTCTCGATCATTATATTATCCTGTTACAAATGCGAAAATCAGGAAAATGAGAAATTTCACTATTTCCCGCCAGAATCTAAAATACCTTCTCGACCATTATATTCTCCCGTTACAAATTGCGAAAGTCGGGAAAATGAGAATTTCACTATTTCCCGCCAGAATCGAAAATACCTTCTCGATCATTATATTATCCTGTTACAAATGCGAAAATCAGGAAAATGAGAAATTTCAAATTTGTTGCCAGAATCCGGGATATCTTTTCGATCATTATATTCTCCTATTACAAAGAGAAAATTCAAATCTCCCGCCAGAATTCAAGATACCTCCTCGATTATTATATTATCCTGTTACAAATTGCGAAAATCAGGAAAATGAGAAAATTCAAATTTCGCGCCAGAATCCGAGATACTTCCTCGATTATTATATTATCCTGTTACAAATTGCGAAAGTCAAGAAAATGAGAAATTTCAAATTTTCTGCTAGAATCCAGGATACCTCCTCGATCATTATATTCTCCCGTTATAAATTGTGAAAGTCGGGAAAATGAGAATTTCAAATTTCCCGCCAGAATCCGAAATACCTTCTCGATCATTATATTATCCTGTTACAAATTGCGAAAATCCGGAAAATGAGAAATTTCAAATTTCCTGCTAGAATCCAGAATACCTCCTCGATCATTATATTCTCCCGTTACAAATTGCGAAAGTCGGGAAAATGAGAATTTCACTATTTCCCGCCAGAATCTAAAATACCTTCTCGATCATTATATTATCCTGTTACAAATGCGAAAATCAGGAAAATGAGAAATTTCAATTATTACTTTATTTGATTTTTCTACATATATTAAATTTCAATTAAAATATCTAATATTGACTTCAGTAGTGACTATCCGTGTGATTTCTGTTTGTGTGAGTACTGGTACCATCATCATGGCGGCATACACCCCCTCCACTTGCGACACGTTTTGCCAGAAGTCTGTGGTAGCACATATAGCATTTTGTAACTCCTTGACGAACGTTCCAAGATGGCGGTAGGTCGTGTGGAATATTGGCATGAAAACTTTAGTCCTTATTCCAAACATTTTCTATATTATCTAACATTATTAAATATTTTCTGTACAATAAAATTATCTATATTTTTACCAATTATCAATGGTAATTGGTTTTTAATTAGCGCGTTTATATTTAACTTTTTTATACAACGGAACACGTGGTTATGTCCAATCTGCATCTGCTTACGTATGACGGATAATAAAAGATGCCAAATTAGTAAACCTTATATTAATCTTTAATTATTCTTATTAATTGTTTTTCGTATCCATATAAATTATTTATAAAATGTACTCTGTTACATTATCAGAGGCTATCAGTTTAAACGATGAATAATAACCAACAATCTGCGATTGTTAATGACTGTTTCCATTTGTAGGATACAGTAAAAATGACGGAGAAACCGGTAGTGAAGAAAGAGAAGAAGGCAAAGAAGGAGCCGAAAGACGCATCCAAAAATGTGATGCGTGAAGTACGAATACGTAAACTGTGCTTAAACATTTGTGTAGGAGAATCTGGTGATAGATTAACACGTGCTGCAAAGGTAGATTTTACGAATGCATCGGTCCTTTCTTTTGAAGTTATAGTGTACAGTTTACAAATTAAAGTTAAATATATATAGGTCCTGGAACAATTGACTGGACAGCAGCCAGTATTTTCCAAGGCTAGATATACTGTACGTTCTTTTGGCATTCGTCGCAATGAAAAGATAGCTGTGCACTGCACTGTACGTGGTGCAAAAGCGGAAGAAATTCTCGAACGTGGCCTAAAGGTATATTAATAAATATATATGTGTATTTATTTTTGTTCTCTATTCACATTATAATTACATGATATATATTGCTTCATTGCAGGTACGTGAATATGAATTGAAGAAAGAGAATTTCTCGTGTACTGGAAACTTTGGTTTTGGTATACAAGAACATATCGACCTGGGAATTAAATATGATCCTAGCATCGGTATTTATGGCCTGGATTTCTATGTTGTACTTGGCCGACCAGGTTAGTGACAAGTTGTAATTGCAATTATATATACATATACAAGTGGATATTGCACTTTATCTGGTATCATAGATATCCCTGTTTTAAATGTGATATCTAATTATGTTAAACATGTGCTAGAAAAAATGCTTCAAATTTGCAACACATGCCCACTTCTCTTACTGAGTGTGTTACTTAACTGAGGCTACATCCTTATAGATTAACATTAAGATTTGTGATACTAATTGAATTGAGCTTAGTATTTTATGCATGAACAATTGCGAGAAAAGATCTTATGAATTATCTAAATGTATATTTTGTAGGATTTAATGTAGCACACAGAAGAAGGAAAACTGGTAAAGTCGGCTTCCAACATAGACTAACAAAAGAAGATGCAATGAAGTGGTTCCAGCAAAAATATGATGGCATAATTATAGCTGGAAAAAAGTGATATGTATTTTGTATTTTATAATCTACATAAGTTTAGAAAAAAGTTCACTGTTTGATTCTTCCTAAATTCCCACTAGTATCCCAATGCCATTGATTTTTTATATCATTGAAATTCTAAAAGTAAAGTTCTGGGAGATCGCGAATAAGCTACTTACATGCTTAAATATGCTAAATTTATTCCATTCCTCACATTGCTTACAGTAATCGGAACATTGATGGTGTGAGGATAAATTAAAGATACAATATCCCTCACTATAATGTACACCACAAGAAAAAGATGAACGAGTAAAAATATAAGAAATTCATTGCACTGTATACGATTATTAAATCGTGGGAATACTGTCTCAATAAAATCACACAAGTACCTGTTTGAGTAGTGACAAACACTTCTGTCTGCACTGTAATCTTGTTTCCGATGAATATAACGTACTGGAGTTTATCAGTTATAATGTAGCTTATATATAGGCCTAGCATAGCGCAACGCTCGCAAAAGGAACTTCATTAAAAAATAATTATCTACAATATAAATTTTCTCTCTCTCTCTCTCTCTCTCTCTCTCTCTCTCTCTCTCTCTCGGTTAGAAATGTGATTGCTTGGATATTGTATGAAATTATATATTTCTTGGACGTTTCTTTTATTTTTTGATATAGTGATCATTATACTATCAATCATTCTGTTCCTTGATTTATAAAAGATTTAGTAGCAGAATGTAGCTTTGAGAGACAATCTATGTATGTAATATGAACGTTCATACTTCCGTTATTGGCACCTTATACATACACAATTTTTTCATCCTAATTATATGTTAAATTATTTAAAAAAATTCTATCATTAAGAATTCTCATCTTCGTATTATAATTACATGGATCGCTCTGAGTAAAAATTCAAGAAGATAAAGATAAAACAAAAATTATTTGTATTATATTACTGAATAAATATCTAAAACCTCAATATGCAATTGAAAAAAATTCAAGCCAATAATTGGTGCCAAGCATTAAATTCTAATCATAATCAAATATTCATACAATAATTGATAGAGCGACTATTCTTTGGTATTAATTTAAATAGATGAGAGTCTCGTAAAAAGTGAACAATGTGTAATTATATATGATGAGACACAGGAAACGTGCTTATAGATTGACATCCACTAATAGTTGCACTTGAATATCCCTTTACGAGATCTATTTAATTTGAAATTACAAGCGGATAGAAAGGCAAGATATATCCTTCAGTCTCCATATTGTTATCTTATCTGGACATCGTGAGACCAGACTTTGATATAGGTAATATATATGGGAAGGGTTCAGAGTTATCATGCGTTCTATTTCTTTTACATAAACACAATCAAATGATTTCCCTTCTATGCCTCAATATGTCCAAGTTACTCTCAGTCGTTTGTTTGTACATTAACACAAAGTTTGTTTGTACATTAATACAAAGTTGGGAGATTGTACAGAAACTCTGAACTATTCTGCATATATACGCATTTGTATATGTATGTATATATATGTATGCACAAGTATATAATGCGCATATTCTCTTCAACAAGTATATGCATGTATTTGGACTATAAGTAAATGTGTATAAATTTATTTAACTTTACACATATATACATGCATATACATATATATATATACACTTGAATATGTATATACATATATATATATATATTTCTTTTGTAATAGGTAAATATATAAATAAATTTGATCCATGTTCGGGGATTCACGTGATAACGAGAAAGATATACATATACACACATATATATGTATATATATACATACTTAACTTTCGTATTCGATACCAAGGATGGCATGCATTTCAAATAATATAATAAAGATAAATTCTCAAAATCGATTTAAATCTTTTTCCTCAATAACTAATACTTCGTCTATATCACATTCTTTTTGCTCAATTCTGAAACATTTTCTATATTTGTGATATACAAGATGCATGTGTATTAATTATTAAAAGAGCAAAATGTTTGCAATAACTGGACAATATAGTTTCTTTCACGTATAACTAGAATATTTATACGCACTAATTTAGAGCATTTAAATCGCGCAAGATGCGTATGATTATATTTGTAATACATGGCCATCGTAGAACGTTGAAATTACACACAGCCATGATTAAATTTTTTCCAATCTCTCCAGGCTGTATCATTTAATGTTAAATCCCAGAACAAATCTAATTTTTTTAGTTGCCAGCCAACCAGTAGTGGCCTAATATAAGTATGATGACGTATGGTGTCTGAGTTATAAGATATTGTAACAAAATTTCTAAATATACTTCGGATGTGCCTAATTTATAGTAAATTGCTTCATATATCAGACATTGTTTCTTCCTTACATACAACGCATTAAAAACCAAATTAAAAATTAATGGGAAATAGACAATACCTAAAATATCCATATAAACTTCATGAGTACCGAAAATTGAGGCAAGTAGAAATTATTATTATTAAAAAATAATATATTTTACAATCAGATAAATATACAAATTTATCAAAAACTCTCTTCGTCGTTTCGTTTATAAGAAGTATTCATGAAGTTCACACATATTTTTCAAACTGAATGAAAATGTTCTCTTACTTTTCTTTTAAATACCAAAGAATTAAAACAAGCATCTTGAAATTCAGGCATTAAATCGAATGAACCTAACACCATTCGTCAGCAATGATATAACATTTTCATATTGAAGGCTTTCAGAAAGCGTTACTTTCTCGCCGATCGATAAAGTTTATCGATGTTGTGCTTTTCCGCCTCCGTGAAGCCCAGGATACTTTCAATAGCGTTTAAGTGGCCGTGATGATTCTCCTTATCAGTTAGGAAATAGTAGATCGCCGACTTTAAGAATTGCAGGGTAATTTCTGGATCGAGAGTACCCTGATTGCTTCTCGCCTCTACGATACGCCGATACATTGCCTGGTGGAAACAAAAGAACGTACTTGTTAAAGAATCAGAATTAGCATGTCGCGACACAGAGACACTTTGGAAGTATACAACTGCTTGTACATATGATTACGCTCGAGTTATTACGTTTGAATCCACATGTGTGTCGTATTCTCTCGCGAATGCTGAACAGTGCGAACAGTGATGATTCCGATGTGATTCATGCCGTGGGTATGTCACTGAAGAAAATTGAGTATGTAATTATATGTACCTGTTGTAACATCAAGCATCAAGATTAACTTCGCGCGAAAACGCATGACATTACAACCAACTTTACAATGTATATCGATATGTCCAAGGATATCGAGGTAAGTCTCTGTCCATTTGGATTCAAAGGTATAGTACACACCTGTACGCGATGGTGGAAGCGTGCATGGGCTGTAAGCACGTGCAAACTTACATTGACCGAAGATGAAAGAGGCTGTTTCTTCCTAGTGCACTGATTAATCGCCCGATCTAAGAGCAATGTATAAAAGTATGAACCATCTACATATCGGTGCTTGATAAACCACATGCAATTGTTGCAGCAAATGTTGCAGCAAAGCATTCACTAACGCGAGTGTGAACAAAAGAAAATACGAGCGCAATCGTGCTCTCCTCCGTACGCCCTTGTCCGTGTGTTCAAGTCCGCGTGTCGAAAGAACTCGTTCCCGAGGATTCCCCAAAGTTACTGACCCTCACTTCAGCCACTGACGAGAGGCGATAATTCTGGGGCGTCCCCTTGAATTGTGCATGTTTTACGACGCAAAGTTACGAGAGAGAGAGAGAGAGAGAGAGAGAGAGAGAATCAAAAATCATGTGTCACTCCTGTATTGACTCGAGATTGCAAGATTGAGAGGAGCATTGCGTTTTCGTGTTGGAATGTCAATTCTTGATGCAGAAAAGAAAAATTGACAGAAGATCGGTGCATCGATATATATATATATATATGTATATATTATATATATATTATATATATATATATATTTATATATATAATATATATATATATATATTATATATGTATATATATATATATAATATATATATATATATATGCGGGCGAATGCAACGTTTATGTATATGTATGTGTATATATATGTACATATACATATACACATATATGGGCGGTAAAGAGTGCATGAGAATTGCGTCACGTAGCAGTCACGAGTTAAGATACAGACCTTACGTGTGCCAAGGACCCAGAGAGAAACAGCCTCCTGAGCGCTTAACAAACTTTGGCTATGTTCGGCTGAAATGTGAGGTTCAGGCGAGTAGCTTGTGTCCTGGAGTGTGAGCGGCGATCAACAAAAAGTGGCACATCGTTAGTACAAGAGAGTATCGTGAACTACGGAGATGCTCGTAAAGTGATGTAAACACGCTTCGTAAATGTGAACAATGTGAGATATATGAATTTGTCTGAGAAAACAAATGCAAAAGCTGTTTCGGTGACACGGATTGCGTAAGAGAACGCGCGTTCAGGATTCCCTTGATTAGACGTGTTAGCGGAATTAATCGCGACAAGATGCTCGGCTTGTCTCCTCGATCGCGAGGAGATCGGTGAGAACAATTTCACGCGAGCACCGGTTGTTAATGATTTCTCGCGGATGGAACGCACATCTAACGAAAGAGATGATCAAGCGAGGAAAATAAGGATGCGAATGCCGAATTGGTAACAAGAAAACTTGTAATGTGCGAATGTTGCAACGCAATCTAATATTATGAAAGCTCGTCGGTGAGACAACGGAAATCGTGTGAATTCACTGAAAAAGACTGCATTATTAACGACTAATTTATTTTACTGTAACTAATATTACCGTTCCAAGGACCGATATTTGATGAAAGTAAGCTTAAAAGTCGTATTCTGTCAGTATTCTATTTGCAATACATCAATATTCCGATCGGAAATCATGTTGCAGAGAGCACGAGGTAAGATTATTCTCAATACGATACGTCGTTAAACATGGCTAAATCTCCTCTAAATGTATTCATCAACGCGCTTTCAACGAAGCTTTCAAAACAGTCAGTTAAATACACACGCAATATCTCACCTTAATATTTTCTAACTCCGCTTGCGTGACGGTTAATTGCTGAAGGAGTTCTGCGACGGTGACTTTAGGCGGTAATTGCTGGGCTTGCACGAGAATCTGCAATTTCACAGAAAGTATTAAACGGTATCGATCTTCACTCGGCACCTGTCATCATAGTCTCTCTCACTGTACACGCCATACCTGATCAGCCTGTTCGATGCGCGCGGCTTCTTGACCTTTGGTATACATTTTCAGGTACATTTGCTTATTCCTTTCCTCCTGCTCGCTGAACAAGGTCTTCTGCTCGTTCAGTTCAGTCTTCACAGCCTCTAGTTCCGCTTCTAATTCGCGCGCCCGAGCCTCCGCGATATCCATGGCCGGTCGTACCTCGCAGTAACGGGTATTGACCTCGGACAATTGATTCAGCAAGCTCTCCACCTGCAAGAAACACGTTACACTAACATTTACAACTGTATCATCGTTTAGTCAGCTCGCGCAAGCATGACGCTACGATTTATCATAGTACATCAGTATGTATGTATGTATGTACCAAGAGCAGAAGGACCGTACCTTATCATTGTGCTTCTGCTTGAGTTCCTGTAGCTCATCGACATGCCGCCTATGCATATCTTCGATTCTATTCTCATAATGACTAACTAATCGACGCCTCTCTTCGTCTCGGTCCGTGCTCGCCGCCGGCGGCGGCGCGGAGATCGCATCGGTGACAGTGTCGCCGGATACTGTGGTGACGACCGTCGACGTACCGGTGGCGATCTCCGGCTGTGGCTCGGGCAAGCACATGGATTCTTTCGAATGGACGGAACCATCTTCAAAGTGGCCGGAATCAGACAACGACGGTGGAAGATCGCTGTTTACACGCTTCTCCGGAGTATCCGGACTGGCGACCTTCTCCCCGACGCCTTCGTCGGGGAGATCCTTGCTCGGCGACTCCGGCGAGAAGGGGTTGTTCTCGCGCACGGTAAGAGCGTCGCTGCTGTCTGTCCGCTCATCTGGACTGTTCAGAGAAGCCTTGTACAACCGCAACTCCACGACCTCCTTGGTCAAGCGCAGGATCTCGCGGTCCTTCTCCTCGATCTCCTTGCGCGCCTCCTTCAGTAAAGCCTGGAAAAGTGGCCACGGTCAGTTGGGACAAATGAAGTAAGACACTATAGGCAGATTGTTCCAATTCCTTGGTTCCAAGTTAACTGATAGTTAAATCATATGTCTGCCTTTGTCTAAATTGAAGGAAAAACAAAGACAAACATATAATTTAACTATTAGTTAACTTACCAAGAAGTTGGAGAGAGAGAGAGAGAGAGAGAGAGAGAGAGAGAGAGAGAGAGAGAGAGAGAGAGAGAGAGAGAGAGAGAGAGAGAGAACAACCGGTCTTATAACTGACAAATATATGACTCCAAATTGGATAAATCATCTTTTTTCGAGCAATTGTATCGTCTATGGCACACATCTTGGAACCGAGTTGATTCAAGATTCTACTTCCTCCGCGACAGGAACGCGTTTGGTTCGTTCATCGTCACGTTGGGCTCGCGAGCATTGCCCTTTTTCCGTGTAAAGAGATTTTTTCAATCATCGATCATTGATATCTTAGAGTCAACTCAACAAGCACACCGCGCGATCAGAGCGAACCGCGAGCATCCCCGCCAATTTCTGCCGGGCGATCACCTGAAATTTCCTGACTTGTCTGGCCGCCCTCTGCGTAGGTGTGAGATATTGCTCGTTGTCGTTATGATTCGAACAGTGCACGACATATTTCCGCGACCGGCCGGACCAAGTGGTGCCGTTCAACGCGAAGGAGGCGTGCTCGCAGGCGCTCGCTGTGCTGCAGGCACTACCGTAACTCTTCACGCTCTCGGCATCGCTGTCGTCGGCGCCGGCCGTCGTTGTTCCTCCAGAGGCCGCGTGACCTGGCCGCGGCCTCGCCGGTGTCAGTGAGAGACTCTGAACGGCACACATCAAACTCTTAACGCTTAACGAGAGAGATCCGCCAACGCGGTTCATTAAAAAACGACGCGCACCATGTCCCACCGCCACCGCCAATTACGGCACGTAATTGCGGCAATAATTAATGCTAATTTCGCCGTGCATACAATGCAATCGCGCGAGACCCGGCCGGAGGACTCGGGGACTGTGAATCGCCCGTGTGTGAAAGAGCACGAGGCAACCGCGAAAATCGAACGTCACATATCACGCTGGGAACAATTTGTCCCCTTTGCTGACGAGCGTTTTCGCGAGGCATCGCGTGGCCTCGCGAATCCGCGTCGCGAACTGTAATTTCAAATTTACAACAAACGTTCGAGAAAGAGAGAGAGAGAGAGAGAGAGAGAGAGGGAGGGAGGGAGGGGGAGAGAGAGGGGGAGGGAGGGAGGAGAGAGAGAGAGAGAGAGAGAGAGAGAGAGAGCGCGCGCGCATCTCACACAACGCGCATGTGCGCGAAAGACGACTCGAAGACGTTCAAAAGACGCCTGAGGAAAGTAGGACATCCTTTGGATGTCTTCGAGACATGCGTGTCGCGTGGGAAGCGCCGAGACCAGGAAATCATTGTCTCCGGAAAATTACGTTTCAAGCGTTGAAACCAAAGTCCCCACCTCCCCGCGCCGCACCTCCTAATCACCTCCGTGGGGTTTCTCCACGCGTCTGCGGGCGCAGGAGATTTAAAAGGCGAGACGTACGACACGCGATATGCGGCAGCTAACGGAAGTCGATACGTGGGCGGATTTATAACGCAGCTGCCTACCTGTTGGACGATTTGTTATACTCTCCGCACTTAGGATAATGACATCTGTCCCGGTCACACGCTGGTCACGCGAGCCGACCGACCAGCGTGGCTTGCCGTGCGAAGTAGCCGTTTAATCAGCGGAACGGAAGTCCGAGCGAGGAGGATTAATACGGCCGCGGCTCATGCGGACTCTGGCGTGTCGCTAGCGCATGCAAAAGTCAAGGAGATCGAACTGTCGGCGCTGTGCACTTGTGCGACTCTTCGGCTTATCCGGTATCTGAAAGCGCGCGGCGGCGGCGGCGGCGGCGGCGTGGCCTCTCGCGTGGTTCTCAACTACGTCGCGCGTGCTAAGGCTCGCTCATCAGGACAGAGGAGGTCTATTCTTCCCAGCTGAACCAGTGCCGCGCTGCAACTTTGTCCTCTTCAAGGTGTCCTTCAAGGTGAATTTGAGAGGTATACTTGTCCCGCTGCAACGGCAGGAGGAGATGCAGCTGGCAAGAACAGACCCGGGGAAAGGGGGACCTGGGAAAAGAGAGGAAGAGACACCCGAGAGACCACGCACGGGACACCGCTAGGCTGATCGCCAACGAGGCCAAGTGCGCAGCAGCTTGGTCTCGGCCCGCATGCTCTCCCGCACGATTTGCAATTTGAAAGCACGAGCACCTTCGAAACGCGAAACCGTCGCCGTCGTCCCGACCTCGTGCGCGATCAATGAAAGAAATATCACGACGAGCCACGTCTTTTGCGCGCTTTCTCTTGTCTCCGACGACGACGACGACGACGACACGAAGGATCCTCGGGGCGGATCTCCGCGGAGGCGAGTGACGAAGAGACGCGGGTGATACAAGGCACGTTGCACTCACGAGAGATCGTTGTCGCGGCGAGTCGGTTCCATTCTCCGTGATGACAGGGAAGATACGATGGTCCGGATGTTGATGCTGTTGCTGCGACTGCAGGAGGTGGTTGTGACGACGGTGGTGGTATAGGTGGCCGAGCAGAGTGTTGGCCGCGCTGCTGGCTCGCGTATAATGTGGTGGGATCCGTTCGCCGCGCACGCGCAGGCTCGCCGAGCGATGCAGGGCCGTCGGCGACGGCCTTGGTATACGAGAGTCCGACGAAGACGGTGTCGAGGAAGTGGTGGTGGCTGCTCGGGAGAGATTCCGATTAATAATGCAAAAGCGGCAGACGCGGCAAGGCAAGGCGGGGATCGATGATGATCAAGCGAGAGGACTCGCGGCGAGTCTCCGGAAATCACGAGGATCAGGCTGAAACCGAAGGGCTCGGCGCGACGATGACCTCACGTACTTTACTTGGGGAACTTGGTGAAAACTGTGCAAGCAGTCTCGTTAATCACGAGACAGCTGGATTCTCGTGGGGCGTCATGAGAGTGACGGGGACGGACCGGTCTGTCGTCGCGACGATACCCCTTCAACTGCAACCTCGCGCGCGCTTCTCGAGGTCGTACGTATCGATCTGAGATGTCTTTGAACTTTTTACTTCCGTCCAGCGAGGCATCTCGCGACTCATCGGAAAGCCCCGGGTGATTGAATGGACCGGTTAGTCAAGAAATCAGATCCCTTTGGCTAATTCTCTAATTCTAGTTCTCTGATTGTGGAATGTGGTGGTGCCGATTGAAGGAGCTGATCAATCATATCAGATAATAATCGAATCAGATAATGTATCATCTACAGATGTTAAGTAAAATATATAGAAAGTTAAGAGAGGAAGCTCTTAGTTAAGAGAGAAGTCTCTGCAACAAGATGTCGTGACAACGTCGAAGACACGGTTGCTTAATCGTCCAGAGATTAGCTTTCCTTTTCTCTCGGACATGTTCACAACTAATTTGCAGAGGCCACTTGAGGACCATCTCGTCTCGGCTTACTTGGAGTCTCGGGAGTTGTAGCGTTCGACACGTGAGTACAATTGGTATCGGCAGTGACCTTGACTGGGCTGACAGAACACGTTGTCGTCGACGACACGAGAGACGTCGTGACGGGGACAGCGAGAGGAGCTAAATCAACCGACGGTTCTAGTTGCAAGGAGAGTAAAGACCTCTCGCTGTCGTAGCGAGCCATATCGCTCATTAAGTTCATCTTAACGGCACGATAGCTGATAGCACCTGGAAGATAAAGAATAGTCGGTTAAAGAATAGACGAATAAAAGCGTCCGTTGAGCGAAATATTCAAGCCGTCTTATTTGTCTTAACTGAGACAGTGTTGCTCTTAATTCAGAGATAGTCGTCTTTGGTAACACAGTAAGGCGTTGTTCGCTTAGGAATATCAAAGACTGAAGAAACAATCACGGAATTCAAGTGCAACTTGCAGTCTCAAGTTCCCGAGACATTTAAGTAACCCGGACTCATCATCGACACAGTGTGCGTCTTCAAGACGGTCGATATACTTTCCTTCATTCGATTTCGCGACTCAAGGGCGGTGTTCTTAGTCAAGCCTTACATTTAGGATCGCCCGAAGCGATCTCTCATCGGATCCGCCATACGGATCGTTTGATTGACTACGAAGATAAACTTCAGATCTTAACTCTTTAGCGCCTGACATTTTTATAAGTGGTTTATAAGTGGTTTAAGAATAAAATTTGAGTTTTTTTGAACTGCGACTATAAGTAGTGATAACAAAAAAATATCAGAATTTTATATTGTTTTCTTTTATCGTTCGTTTTTTATTTATTGGTAAATATGACTTGGATCCTAAAAGCATACACGAAATGAGCAACCTATACACAGAAAAATGAAGGGTAATCTATACGACTTAACTCTGATAGTCAGCTTGACATTTTTCAGCTGAAACTTTATTATATTTGTAAGTGAAGTTTATCATTCAGAGCGTCAAGCTTACTATTTCAGAAGAATATCTTATAGATCACCATTTTGATAGTCAATCGTCCCTTCATTTTTCGCCGCATAAAAAACCGTAGGTCACCAGGTTTCACGAAAATAGATTGATTTTCGTGTCCACCATCTTGGATCCGTCATTTTGAATTTCTGTATTCTTTTAATTTCACATTTTGCATCTGAGAAAGTTTCCAAATGTATAAAATTATAATAGATACCAATCTATTCATTTATAGTGCACTTCTAGATGTCAATAACAATGCTGACTATGCCTACTTGGAATTTGACAAAACATGTTATCATTAAAACTGAGCTAGAAATAGACTAAACCGAATCTACATACAATCTATATACCATTTTTTAGAAGAGGAATTCACTTTTGTAGTTGTGCAAAGAAAACGAAAATATCTCTTTTTTGACTAAGTTATGGATTCTTAAGGGGACTGGAGGGTCAGATTGCTGAAAAATCATGCTTTTGACAATATTTTACGATGAACTGAATAAATGTGCAAGAATGAAAAGTTTAGGTATATTTATACATGTGAAGAGTAGAAAAATTTTGTTTATTAACAAATACTCATATAAATATACAATATATATAGCTGAAATACACAGTGGCCCAGATGGGGCCCAATGTGGCACAGATATTCTCCTTTTTTTTTCAAGTTGTCGTTTTTGCAGTAATATCTCGGCTCTCGGTGGTCCGATCAGAGCAAATTTTAGCTAGAAATCTTAAGGAGACTTATCATTATCCGGTGAAGCACTTTAAAAAAAAAATCGAACAAAATTAACAAAATGATAGCTATTACTTATTATTATTATTAACAAAATAATATAGCTATTATTAGGAAAAGATTCAAATTTTTCAGTTCTTTTACAATAAAAAAATTAACATCTCGAAATGAAATATTTTGACGGAGTTATCCATGGTTCACCATGAACAAGTATTATTGCTTTAAAATTTCAAATCGATATGAAGCTCAGTTTCGGAGAAATCACTGCAAAAAGTTGAACGATAAAATTTCGAGAAAAACGAGTTTAAAATTTAAGTGGACATATATTTATATGAATATTTGTTAATAAACAAAATTTTTCTACTTTTCATATGTTATATAAATATATCAAAAATTTTCATTCTTGCACATTTATTCAGTTCGTCACAAAATATTATCAAAAAACAAGCACGATTTTTCAGTAATCTGACCTTCTAGTCCCCTTAAATGCATTTCTGGTAACTATAGTCATCGGTAGAGGCGTTAAAGGGTTAAATACGACGGTCGACCGTAAACACCGGCCGCGGTGCGTCCGCAGCCGCACAATCGATCGCACATTGCGCATTATATGTCACTCGATTCGGGATTCGTCGTCCGACTGGAAGACGTAAATGTGCGGGCGTGATTCAACAACGGATCCTTCCTGCCGATCCGAGCGTGCACTCAATCGCCGCAAACAGGCGGAAAGGGAGGCTCCTCTTTGAGCGCGTCAAGTGCGTGAAATGATTCCCCGAGCAAAAAATTGTTAGGGTCATCCTCATGAAGCACAAGACCCCGATAAGGCTAAAAAAGGATGCCTCATTATTACCACATCAGGCCAAAAGATTTGGATCTCTTAGGGATGTCTTAAATTTTACGAAACAAAGTTTTGATAAAAAAAAAAGCTGAAAAGGGCCTTAGAAGAATTTTTTAGGGATGCTTTACATATTGATAAAATCAAATTTTGTCATAGTAAATTAATAAGATCTGAAGCATGTAATAAAATTATCATAGTTTAATATTGTTTTAGTAGAGTAGGCTCTCTCTATTTGGTTCTTCTAAAGATTTTTTAATTATACCGCAATCAAAAACAAATTTTATTACTTTTATTAATTGCTATATTTATTAGTCTCTCTTCAAAGAATTTTTCTAATATTGCCTTCGTTTTGGAATGCAACAAACTTTAGTAAAAACAGTGGCAGAATTTTTATGTGTAAAGAATGCTATATTTTTAAAATAAAAAATTCTTATTGTATATTAACAAGGTTATAAAGAAATAAAGAAATTACAGTCTAAATTTCTTGGAATGAAAAGAACGAATATTTTTAAACAATATTTTAAACTTTAATATTTAAAATTTTAAACAATTTTTAAACCAAAACGATAATAAAAATATTTCCTTATGAGGCCCTTATAATATTGCCTTATAAGAACCCATTAAACCATTTGTTACACATCTTATAGGGCCCTTATCTTTCTATCTCTATTAGAGCCCGATTAATGTTAGAAAAAAATAATCAAGCCCTTACCAGAGCCGTATTAATTTTTCTACTCGGGTCGCGCGCTCGACGCCAGCTCGAATCTGAAGTTGCACGATGGATTTCGTTGTAGGAATTGCTTGCAACGAGCAGTATCGAGCTCGAAGACCTTTATCCCGCTATTGGAAACGGCGTTCCTCTCCCTCTCCTGTCGCTCGCGTTATGAATTTATGTCAACCGAAGAATTATTTTACAAGCTCTTGTCGCAATCTCACCGATGGAACGGAAATATTTGCTCACGCGTTATCGCTGCTGTCTCAGCGTTATCGCTGAAAGCGTATCACGCGCTTTTTTAGCGTAATACTAAAAACTACATCGGTCATGCGTCAACGCGCAGCGTGCCGTTCTTATAACGAGACGGGTCACTCTTCAGGAACGAGCACGACTTTCGATCGCACGACGACCAATTCACCCCCCGGCGAACGAGATATTGCCCGAGGTCGAGGACATATCGATTGGACGAAGCGCCATCGTACGCTGAACTTAGGTCGGCTTGTGCCTATCGAGAATTGTTTCGTAGAGAATTGCTTCGGGAACACGCATTGTTTCGTGCGCTGTCAACTTCCTTCGCGGTAAATTCGGGGCCGCGCGACTTCGCGTTCTCCCGGGACGCTTCGGTTCGCACGATCCCAACTGTTATCAACTAAGCGGTAATTATCACCCAACCGTTACCTGAGAATTGTTCTCTACGCCGCTCTAACTGTTCCATCCAAGCTACTTTCCAAGTATTATTCGTCTAACTGTTGATCAAGATACTGCCCAAGAACAGGATGCAGAGTGAACGATATATATCGCAATCTGTATCGCGCCGCGAGGTCGCCGGGGAATATGTTGCAAGCAGTATGCAGAGCGATCTCGATTTGATGTCGTCGGATGATCGATCATTCTCCTCCAAAAAGCGATTCCTTCCCACCGATCCTTTTCCGCTCGATTTTTATACAAACCGATACCTTTCAGTGAAGAATCGAGTTTCGATCCGTTGATTCACTTATTCGTCAATGTTGCTTCGTTTAACGAAGAATCCGACTGTGTAGAAAAATCGAACAGAAAAAAATCTATTCGAAGGATCGATTTCTTTGTTGGAAGAAAAGATCGATTTTCTGGAAATCACGTCGAGATCGCTTATCGGTATCCGCGAGTACGCGAGTGATACGAGTTCGCGCAGGCAAATCAACTCGACTGGGCGACAACGCTCGAGAGAAACGATTTGTAGAAAAATCGAACAGAAAAAAATCTATTCAAAGGATCGATTTCTTTGTTGGAAGAAAAGATCGATTTTCTGGAAATCACGTCGAGATCGCTTATCGGTATCCGCGAGTACGCGAGTGATACGAGTTCGCGCAGGCAAATCAACTCGACTGGGCGACAACGCTCGAGAGAAACGATTTGTAGAAAAATCGAACAGAAAAAAATCTATTCAAAGGATCGATTTCTTTGTTGGAAGAAAAGATCGATTTTCTGGAAATCACGTCGAGATCGCTTATCGGTATCCGCGAGTACGCGAGTGATACGAGTTCGCGCAGGCAAATCAACTCGACTGGGCGACAACGCTCGAGAGAAACGATTTGTAGAAAAATCGAACAGAAAAAAATCTATTCAAAGGATCGATTTCTTTGCTGGAAGAAAAGATCGATTTTCTGGAAATCACGTCGAAATCGCTTATCGGTATCCGCGAGTACGCGAGTGATACGAGTTCGCGCAGGCAAATCAACTCGACTGGGCGACAACGCTCGAGAGAAACGATTTGTAGAAAAATCTAACAGAAAAAAATCTATTCAAAGGATCGATTTCTTTGTTGGAAGAAAAGATCGATTTTCTGGAAATCACGTCGAGATCGCTTATCGGTATCCGCGAGTACGCGCAGGCAAATCAACCGAATGCTCTCCATTATAAAATAGACACTTGTGCGTGTGCGGATTGCGGAGACCTGCGGAGACAATGGAATCACTTTGTTGCGCGGCGGATTAACGGGCGACCGTGGCGAATAGCGCGCCGCGCCGAATCGCCATTTTTTCGCGAACACCCGCGACCTCGGGCGTAATTCGCGCACAATCATCGAGCGCATTAAGCGTGCCACGCAAACAGCTAGCTTCGCGTGTGTTTCGTCCTTGCACGCGGAAGCCGGATACGAAACCGTAATTTTACGGCGCGCCTGCTCGCCGCGAGCGCGCCAGTTCGTGAAAAGCGACGCCGAGACGGTCGCTCGACTCTTTCGGAAAACCTCCGCAGAGGCTGCGATTTGTTTCCAACGGGATATTTCGCAGGATGCGTTCAGAAAAGAGGCCATTAGCGCTATTTCGCAGGATGCGTTCAGAAAAGAGGCCATTAGCGCTATTTAGCGCTATAATTACTCGTTCGCGAAGACAAGTGTTTCGGACAAAAGTTGTACGGTTTCTAAAGCAGACATAAAACAACTGTATCAGTTTGTTTACAGATGACGCCGCTTTCGAGATGTTCACTAATCATTACTTTTCTTTCAAATGGAAACCCCAATTTTTCATTATATCATCTTTTTCCACCGATTAATTTCAACAACTTTTGTCTGAAACATTGTCTTATTTGCCTAATACTTTTTGAGATATTTAAGGAAAACAGTTTTTAATTTTTTGACAATTTTTTCAATATTTAATTCACGATATCTCGCTAAGTATTGGTCGGAAAAGCTAGACTTTTTTACTCTATTTGGTCTCAGGAATATATTGTTACAATAGCGCTCTGACTTATGTTAATTTGATGATTTTGAAATTTCCAAAAGTCGATAAGTTGACAAAAGTCAAGGCGCTATTGTAACAATATATTCTTGAGGCTAAATAGAGTAAAGAAGTCTGATAGCAGTTTTTTTTCCGACAAATAGTGAGATATTGTGAGTTAAATATTGAAAAAGTTATCAAATTTTCCTTAAATATCTCAAAAAATATTAGGTGAATAAAAAAAGAATTTTAAGCATTTAAGAAAAGTAATGATCAGTGAATATCTCGAAAGTGGCGCCATCTATAAACAAACTGATATAATTGTTTTATGCCTCCCTTGAAACCATACTACTTTTGTCGGAAATTTTTCTTTAAAATGTTTGGTTTTCGAGATATTTTACCGGTCCGGGACACTTTTTGGACTGTATATAAAATTTCCTTTCAATATCTATTTAAATTTCAAAAGATAATAATTTGTTGAATATTGCTTCATCATAGCAGCAATATAAAAAATAAATATAGGAGATTCAATATAGATTCAACGTTGGAGAGATATTTATATTTCAAAATTCAACGTCTCTCTCTCTTTCTCTCTCTCGCAACTCGTTGTTTCAACTTTCTGCGCTGTAAGTTTTTGTACATTTAAATAAATATTCGGAATGTTAAAACTGAGGCGCTGAAACTGCGGAAACGGCGCTCAGTAATGCTAAAGCTACGCAATTTATGGAGTTTGTTATCGCTATCGCACTCCACGAACAGTTTTACGTTTGTAGTTCAGCGTTTACGAAAGTAACGCGCGGCTGGTGGATTTCCGCGGGGCTTATCCTTTTTCAATTTTCAGCGAAAGTGATGCACGGCGAATTTTTCAGCTTAGGACCGCGAGCGCGACGAGTTATGTAAAGCTCACGAACGGCAGTTTCATCAACAGCTGTTACGAAAGCGACGAAAGCGAAAATGCGGAACCCGCAACCGTCCAATTGGTCGACTCTCCGAGCGCGACGTATCGCGCAACTTTGAGCGGAGACAATCGAAAGACGAAAGACGAAAGGCGAAAGGCGCCAAGCGAGGCGGCGTCTTATCGAAATAAAATGATCGATCAGGCCGCGGTCTATTTCAAGGACACGACTGCGGCGGTACTATGCAAAGCGCTTACTTATCGGCGAACGGCGCGATTTTACGTCAATCGTTCGTAAAGGCGAACCGATAACGCGCTCATAAATAACCCCGCGCGCGCACACGCGCATTAGTTTTAAATACTCTAACGCGGCGTATTATCCTTCGTCCCCGCATTGTTCACGCCACATAAATATATAATAATGCGTGCGATTCGCGACGACTAGATACATTCGTCGCTCAAGGCAATTATTGATACTAATTCCAATTATCTGATTCGAAACGTATGAGCGTCACAACGAAACGTCGCACTCGCGCAAATATTTTCATCAAACGCGATAAATAGGACGCTATAGGAGAGTGAAAGGGAGAAACGAAGAAATGTATCCGACGTTTCGGATGTCGCGCGAATAGACGTCCGAGCGACTCTCGAATCATTTCCAGCAGGGTAACATTGGCTGCGTGTTCACGACACTCAACGATTGTGCAACTGTTGAGTGATTTCGTCCTGAACGCTACTGAGCGCGATGCGCTCAACCGCAACATGTTGAATGAGCGCTCGCCATGTTTCTCATCATAATAAATATTCGTCGCTACCTTTACTGGTCGGTCTCCGATCCAACATGGCGCAGCCCATGAATAAGGAAAATAAAGAAAATAGTCATATAAATCCAAATGTATATATAGCGAGGAATGTCAGGGATGATGTAAAATACATTGTAACAGATACATATGAATTATATTTATAAAAATTACTTAATAATTACAAGACACATAAGCGTTTTAAATTATAAGACACATAGACAGGCCGTAATATTTAGTACGTTTATCTGACATTTCTTCCGCGCCACAAAATCGAGCAGTTGCGTTCAGTGTACATTTCTACTGCACACTCATCGGATGCTCAACCGTTGTGCAACTGTTGAGCTTCGTGAACGCACTCACTGTCCAACTGCCGATGGCGTTCAAATTGTAATTTCTTCATAATCGACACAGGAGCAACGAATATTCTATGTATCGAAATGAGGCGATGAGGCATGATTCGATAATAACAGACGGATCGTAAATGACTCCTTCGTGATACACGCAACACGTATAAACAATCGATACCCGAGATACCGTCGATAGATTGTGAGATTTCACTTCGGACAAACAGTCGCGGATATGAAATGAAACGCGAATACGAATGAAATCTCTCTCTCTCTCTCTCTCCCCCCGATAAACGGCACGTCGCGTATATGAACCCATTTGTGAGTGGTCGATCGCCACACCGGGAAACACACGGCGGACGTGCGTTACATAACGCAAATAAAATAATTACAAGCATCTGATATCAAGCTCGATTGGGTGAGCGAGCCATGAGTGAGTGAGTGAGAGAGAGAGAGAGAGAGAGAGAGAGAGAGAGAGAGAGAGAGAGAGAGAGAGAGAGAGAGAGAGGAGAGAGAGAGAGAGAGAGAGGAGAGGAAAGAGAAAGACGGACGTGCAATCACGAGGTATTTACATCGACGTATGAAACGATCGCTGATTACGCCGACACTCTTGACGCACGAACTTTCATCGAAAGTGTATATACGTACACAGCATACATATATGAATATCGACACAAGGCGTATTTTTCTCATCCGTGTACCTTTAACGTAATCCACGATATCTCACGATAAGACGCAGATACAGATTGTCAACTTGCCGCGCACAGTCAGCGATCGTCATTGCAACTCTCCTTTTTTCTCCGCTCTACGCTCATTCGAGTGACGCTTGAGAATTATTTCATGTCTCTGTCTGTCTCTCTGTCTCCTTCTCTTACGCTCTTTCTTTCTCTCTCTCTCCTCTCGCGTCCGACGACTAGAACTCCGTAACGTACTTCTCGTCTAACATATGTATCAAATGACAGTCTAACGATCTCCTATCGCGGGAAATCGCCGGCCACTCACCTCGGTGAGCGATACCAGAGAGATCGCAAGCATTCGTCTCCGGTGGAGAACAGACTACTCCGAGGTGCACGAGCTACGAGCCGCGATCCATCCTGTCGAGTGTCAAACGCACGGTCTGCGAGAGAGAGAAACACCACGTCGAGCGTCGTTCGTCGCGCACTGTCGAGCACTGTCACTCCGCTACTATCGCTGTCATTCCGCGGCGGCGGCGGTGGTGGTGGTGGTGGTGGTGGTGGTGGTGGTGGCGGCGGCAGCGGCGGCGACCAGGCCACGTGGGCTTTCACCGAAGTCGCGAGGCCTGTGATATCGCGTCGTGCAAATCTGAACGGAGACACACGGTTCCACGCACCTGGAGAGCGCAACGCTCGCGCGCGCCTTCTCACTCGCGACTTGCGACGCCGTGAAACGAGCCGCGAGACCGACGATTGGCCGTGCGTGCGACAATCGCCTGCGCGATTCACGAGCTGCCGCGCAAAAACCGAACGACGTCGCGCGACCGAAGGCCGTGACACGAATCGCGAATGACGTTAAGCGGCGAAAAATAGACTCCTCGTCTGAGACGCGCGTCGGGCGCAGTGCGAATCTTCATCCGGCGGCTTCGTCGAGGGACCGTACGCGACATCTGTCGCGATCAGACGGTAATTCGCACGTTGCTCCGTTGGTAATGTGAACTGCCGCGTAATTCCGATTATTTTTATTATATCTCGCACCATTGTCGGTATCCACCATTGTTGTCTTGTTCTTGAGGATAATAAAGCTATGAAAGATTTATGCTCGCATCACACAATAGAGCTACAATAATTGTTACTTCATTATGAACTACTTTTGAGATCTATATATATTTTGTAAATGTCTCTTTTTATTATATATATGTATATATATCATTTATATTATTTTATATATATATATATATATATATATATACAGATCAAGTGTATTTCACAGTTTGTTTATCTAACAATCAAATTTAATATAATAAAATCTAATATAAACATGATACAGGATATAACAAGAATAATTAATGTAGAATAAAGTATACAACAGATAGCATAAATGTCTGAAAACACCTTAAAAACACCAAAAAATATCTTGTTAGTTTTAAACATCTCTTTAATATCCTTAAGATATATTTGGAATATTTGTGCTGTCTAAAATAGATCAATGTGCGAATATCAATGGTGTACTCTTTATTCATTATCAATGGGCTTTGTATTCTTTAGAGTTTCAATCAGATTCAACAACTGAGTACGCTTGTGTCGCACCATTTCTGGGATTGCTCCAAAGTCACAGTCAGTTACTTTAGAAGTCCTTAAAATATGTCTGGATATCACATCTGTCAGACATAGGACATGCAAACCACAATCGTGACCGTTATTTTGCGGCGGTGATATAATTTCATTGTAACTCTTCTTTGGCTTACCAAGAAAATATTTTATTACGTTCGATGTAAATTCAGACGCGATGAAAGTGTTAATATAACTGCTGGAGGAGTCATAATGGTAACACATTTGATCTATGCGAGAGTACACCAGTAAGCTCCAATGTGTGCCACCTGGTGATCCCAAGCTGTCACAATTATTCAGAGGGAAGAATACAAAGTTGTAATTTTTTGCATTCACACTATCAAGAAACACGCAGCAATTTATAGGATTCTCCATTCTCAGTAATTGAGTTAATGGAGGATTCATAAACAATAATTGAGTATTTCCATATTTTTTATATTCTTCAGTCAAATACTCGTAATAAAAACCTATTATGGCATCGTTCAACCAATGAGTCCCCTTTAACAAGTTCACATCCGATAATCTGAGCAGACTGTCATGATAACTCAGTACAACTTGATCTTCTTTCTTGGTACTTGCCATAGTCATCATTAAATGTCAAAACACAAATTCAACAATATTGGCATAATACTGAGGCCGGAAACGACTCGAGATTTAACCGTGGATCTTCATCTGAAAAGTATAATTACGTTAGAGGAAAATATTTTCACAGTGAATATTCTAAATAAAGGAACTCACATGACAAGTTCTGTTTGGAACGAGCGGAAACAAGAGGATACTTCTTTTCCTTCTACAGATGTAAATTTATTTCGGAATCCAGTATCACTTCTGCTTTCTTCTACTCCTACTTCTTTAATTTTTTCTTGTTATTGTTTCTCTATATTTACAATAAAGAAGCAAGCACACATTCTCTCTCTCTTGTGTGCGAAGTAATAAGTGCCATGACAGCCTTTGCTAGCCATCTACGTTTCCTCGCGATTTTTAGAACTCCTTAGCAACATATATGCATTCATCGCGGTCGATAAATCGCTAGTTTATGACGTTTGCATCTAGCAAGGTTGATTGCATAATCGGCAGTGTTGCAGCCATGGCTGCTTCCCTGAGTAGGATGTGTACGGACTTCAGGTGATTATTTTTTTTCCTCGACAGGACATCGCGATAATCAAAGCCACATTTTCGGGATCTACCCTGTGATACATCTATGTTGATATGATAATACTGTGAGCAATTTTAATATTACTTTTACAGGAGATAAACATAACCTTTATAACCTTTATAACCTTTGTTCTGTACAGTATTAAATTGTCCTAATTTCTACTCTTTCATTAAATGAGAATCTAAACGAAAATCTAAATTAAATGAAAATCTAAATATAATAATTTCGTTGAATTGTGCATCATAAGTATAGATTAACAAATGCATTTTCTTTTTCTGTGAGAATTTTATGTTGCAATTTACAGTTTACTGAGGCAACCATTCTACGATGTAGCTAGAAATAAAAATATAAAGAAGTACATCTTGCGCAGTGTGTTTCCAACATGTGTACAATGCCAGTGTTACCATACAACACCACAATATTTAAAAAAACATAAGGTAAGATAATGCTCTTCTCTTTGGTTCTTTCCATATATGAACATTTTCAATTTTCAAATTGAATTGATTGCCATATAAAGATACTGAAATTATTTGTTGCAGCAAAAATCCTACAACATAATAAAACCCAAGAAAAAATTATCAGTTGTAAATTTATGGAATGAAATGACAATATCAGAATTGGTAGACTCAACTAAAAGGGATATAAGTGATATTATTGAGGCACTTTCTCTGTCTGGTCTTTCTTTTGATCACTGCAATAAAGATACTGTCATAGAAGATAAGAATGTATTGTATAATGCTGTGCGAAAGCTTGGGGTAAAATTTAAGGTAGTACCCAGACCAGATGATCAAGAGGACGACGCAAAGGATCATGATGTCACCAGGCGGTATATTAATAATTAACAAGAATAATCGATCGCGACAAAAGTATGGCACATCTCATTATTATTTTATTCCACCAGGCCTCCACCGGATGAATCTGTATTGATAAAACGGCATCCAGTGGTGACAATTATGGGTCACGTCGATCATGGCAAAACAACCTTATTGGATACATTACGTAACACATCAGTTGTAAAGACAGAGTTTGGCGGTATTACTCAACATATTGGAGCCTTCAATGGTAATACGAACATTTTCAATGTGTCAAGTCTTGACCATCGACGATTTTTCGTCCCTGACGTTATTTATTTCTGATTGACAGTAACGTTAAAAACGGGAGAAAGAATCACGTTTCTAGATACCCCGGGTCACGCGGCGTTTAACGTGATGCGAATGAGAGGCGCGCAGGTTACGGATATCGTGGTACTAGTGGTTGCAGCGGACGACGGTGTGATGGAGCAAACGGTGGAGAGCATACAAATGGCGAAGAGCGCGAATGTCCCGATTATCGTGGCGATTAATAAGATCGACAAGCCTAACGCCGACATCGTGTGTAAAATGAACGAATACGTAAATATACGGGAAAATCGAGGCAAAGGCATTCAGAATATATATTTCAGGAGAGGACACAAAATATGCTCTCGCAACGGGGAATTCAAGTGGAGGCGGTAGGTGGGGACGTTCAGAGCGTTAATATATCAGCGCTATATGGGACCAATTTGGATACCTTAATCGAGTCTTTAGCGTTACAAGCCGAGCTGATTGGACTAAAAGGTGATCCGACGGGCTTGGTCGAGGCTGTCGTAATCGAGTGTTCGACCGATATTTACCGCGGCAAGCTAGCGACGGTTTTAATTCAACGCGGTACTTTGAGGAAGGGCGCGTGTCTCGGTAAGCATAATTCGGCTTCAAGCATCGGAGATGCTGCTCTCGACGAAAAAATTGATATACGTCGGAAAAGGAAAATGTCTAGAACTGATATAGTTTTTACTTACTAGTGAGTGGGCGAACATGGGCGAAGGTAAGGTCCATGTTCGATCATTCCGGCAGTCCAGTCACGGAAGCTAAGCTGTCCGAAGCGGTGCAAATTATCGGTTGGCAGGATTTGCCCACCGCCGGGGATGTGATATTGGAAGTAAACAATGAGAAGAAAGCGCACATGGTGATGCGCTACCGAGAGAGGGAACAAGCTAAGTTGTTATCGCATAAGCATCAAACTGCGGCGGACAAGAAGCACGAGGAATACCTGAAAGTAAATTCTTCCGAATGTGATTTATCGGGTACGTTGCTGTCGCGTTATTAGTCTCATTTTACCCGATGCTTGGCTCGGTTTTAGGAGTATAAGATACATTTAGAGAAGAGAAGAGAGCGCGGTAGGTATTCTAAGAGATGGATGTCAGCACCTAAAGACGAGACTAACGACATGCCTAAACTCAACATTATCATAAAGGGCGATGTGGCCGGTTCCGTGGAAGCTATATTAGACGTTTTAAGCTCATACGGAAGCGATGACAAGTGTCATTTGAGCATCGTACATTACGGCGTCGGACCTATCACGACAACGGATTTACAACTGGCAGAGACGTTCAACGGTAAGACGATATGATGCCGAATGATCGGCGTGTTATCTTCTAGAACGAATCTCAACATTGTGAAATCTTTATAGCCATCTTGTATCACTTTAACGTGAATATACCGAAGAATTTGCAACAGGAAGCCGAGAAAAAAGAAATATCGGTCCGCGCGTACAACGTGATTTACAAGCTCATCGATGACGTTAAAGAAGAAATAAACAAGAGGCTGCCGTCGCTCGATGCCGAGGAAGTAATAGGTACGCGAGAGACAGAGCAATACGCAGGAGCGACATCGTAAATTTATCCTGACCGTTCGTTTGTTTTTTCGCAGGCGAAGCGAACGTACTTCAAGAGTTCGAGATCACAGAGAAGAAGAAGAAGGTAAAAGTCGCAGGTTGCCGGTGCGTCAAAGGCAACCTCAAGAAAGCCGCGATGTACCGTGTGATACGCGAACAGGAGGTCCTCTACACCGGTAAGACGCAACGCTCGACTGACAATCCCGAGACAACGTGACAAATGACGCTTCATGTATGTGTGTTCCAGGGAAATTGACGTCGATGAAGCACATGAAAAATGAGATAGAAATGATTAAGACCAACGTAGAGTGCGGCTTGAGATTCGAGGATCCTACGATATCCTTCAAACCCGGAGACGTTGTCATTTGTTACCAGACATACCAGAAGTCGCAAGAAACCGACTGGGATCCCGGATTCTAGATTCTAGAGCTGAACCAAGTAAAACCGCGCAATACACCGTAGTCATAATGTTGCTCATTCCACGTAAGCTTAAGGACAGATGGGAGAAGTTGAACAGTGAGCGAATCGATTGATTTCAATCAATAATTTGCAACACAACAGTCTTACAATCTCATTAGTTTTTTTTTTCCGGGAGGGAGGGGGTATGACCGGCCGATTCGCTTATTGCTCAAGTTGTTTTCTTTTTTCTTATGTGCCATCTGCTCAATGCAGATGCCGTCGAATTAAGTACAAATTCATTTATTATTGCTCGAGAGTTGCAATCTTCTTTTTACATTGGTCAGTTTCGTAATTTCGTTTCATAGAGACGGATCATATCCGTCAGCGGAAATCATGAAATTGAGACAGACAAGCTATATAATGTAGTACAATCCGTTACAATCCGTCAGAGACATCGATAGTGATCTTGCCTTTTTTCTGCGTGCTTACATCAAATGGAATGGAATTCTGCACGGAATTCTTTCGACATACTTTTTTTCTTTCTTTTTTCTTCTCTTTTCCTTTCACGCGATACGCAGCACGAAACGACATGATAAGAAGCACGTAAAGTCAAACTTTAAAACCTAATCAGCGGTGATAATCTTAATTTCATTGTCCGTAAGATCGTTTTCTCTCCGAATTCTCATAAAATTTCGTCTACACTCAACGGCTTTCCCCGACTCAACGAACGTGTAAAATTAGTTAAGGGTATGCGGGATCACACGGACGCGACATTAGGACGCGTAAGTCTCGCGAAATCGTCGCTGGAGATGCTGATACGCAGAAAGAACGCCACGCTTCTTCTTCTGCAGGCGGCACGGAGTCGTCGTTTCCTGGCAGTCGCCGCCGGCCGCGGTAATCTTGATGTCCAACGGCTCGATAGCAACGTCGTCATCTGGATGTACGAAGAACGCGATGGAGTGACGTCCACGGCCACAATGTTCCGGCATGACTACGCGATGTCGCAGCGCTGGCAACTGTCCGTTGGTCCAATGCGCCAACAGCTCGCCGGTGTTCACCAGTATGGCACCCGGAAGATGACCCACTCTACCCCATCGTTCTCCATGCAGAGTCTGTATCTCGAGACCACCTTCGCAGTCCTGAGGGAAACGTTCCATCGTACAGAATGCGGTCCCCGACACGCGTAATTCATACAAATCTGTACATACGCGCTATACATGTATAATAACAACCTTGACTTTTTATCGACTTGACGTCTGATCTCTCTTAATCGCGACGTGAAAGTGCAACGCGAGCGACTACTTTTGTGCCTTGGACTCTCAACAACGTATCTTTAAGCGCGCCTAATACCTGCTTCTCTCTCCTTGAAATATTTTCACGTTTCATTTGATAGTAGCGATGCGCCGCTTATCGCTTTAAACGACTGCACGTCGCCTTGCGCGACGAACGAACGGGACGTGCTCGAGTTATCTGCAGCTCCGACAAAATTATGCAGATATGCAGACACGCGCTTCGTGGATATGTTCTATTGCATATATATGTGTGTGTATGTGTGTGTGTGTGTGTGCAGAACGTATTTTTTTGTCGAAAAGTACGACCCGTGCGATCGCGCAAGGCTCGATGACGTAGCGGCGGCCGTGCCGGACGTTCATTTTCATGCGCACGGTGTAATATCGCAATCTGCATACCTGCGCCAACAAAGTGAAAGTGCCATAGTCGCAGTGGGCGCCGCATCGGGTCAGTCCTTGTACCGGTGTACCCAGTGGTGGATAATAGAGGAGACGCAGGGTGGACTCGTTGCCAGGGCCGAGTATGTGAGCGTGCTTCGACAGCAGGAAATCGTAGGACTGCTCCAAGCCCACAGACAGAGCCTGCGCATTTACCACACTCACACCGTTGCCGTCGTTTAAGGATTATAGATTATTTTTTGTGCGTAGCTAATGGAAATAATCTCGTCCAAAGATCAAAGTTACTTATACCGGGAAAATAAATCACGAGGAGAATCGATAACACGATACTTGTGGAGGATAAGTGAAATATCTGAAAGGGAAAAGATAAAATGACGAACGCGTTCGGGAGGAACGCGGTCGCGGTCTTTCCAACGTCGTGCAACGAAAAATTCGGAGAACAAAACGACGATCGCTGAACAACAGATTATTACGATAACGAGCAAGCTACGTTGGCCAGGTAATAAACCAGGGGATTGGCTTCTTCCTCAAATCGAACACGTTCACGAGCGCGCGAAACGGTTTTTCGTCGGGAATACCGGTTGTGAAGAAACAGATAAGACGATAACAACGGAGGAAAAACTTTCGTAGAAAAAGATAAAGCGACGGACACGTTCCGAGGAATTGACCGCAGTCGCTTCAACGACGCTGAGACACAGCGCTAGTAAGACAGAGACAACGATATTGATAAAATATAACGAAATTGCAAACGACGACCGCATCGAACGAGTAGGAAGCAAGTATTTACCGCAAGTAGCATGGTTGACAGCTGCTTAAAATCGCGCGCCAACTCGTCCAACGCCGGCCGGAATCCCTGCACCTCCTCCGGTAGGTTCCCCTCGCATCCGGTCACGTTGAACGCGTGTCGCAGCTCCATCTCGTCCGAAAATCTAATTGCGGGGATGCAAGAGGATGGATTAATTTTTTAATTTGAGCGAAAGTGAACAAGACGAACAACAACTCGCGCGCGCTGAGTCGCGTATGTCTTGAAAAAAGCACACACGTCTCGCTGAAATAACTACCTGCAATGCAGACGTTATATCTGTTTGCTCATTTGCGCGCTGTGCAAACTATACGCCGCACTCGCGGTGCTGCGTGATTGTGTTTACATCGGACAACTTCAATTACCCGTTCGGAACAATACACGAGCGGCGTGTTTTAATTAAGCCCTCTCGACGATCAATTTTCCTTCGACGATCGTCAAGGCGTCCGGCCTGCACCCGTGCAGACTCGAGGAAGGGGGATCGAGAGAGAGAGAGAGAGAGAGAGAGAGAGAGAGAGAGAGAGAGAGAGAGAGAGAGAGAGAGAGAGAGAGAGAGAGAGAGAGCAAAAACGAACGAGGTTGTGCGTCGCTGCTTCTCGTACCATTATCGAGTTACAGATCGTAGCCGGAGTTAATAGAGGAGAACGTCCACTAAATTGAATTGCGGCGGATCGCGAGAATAATTTGAGGATGCAATTTTCCAACTTACTTCTCCGCGTCTGGCTTGACATAGCCGTGATTATCCGGCGAAACACGCTCGTATTTCGCTCGCGTTTCGTCCGGCAACTCGCAGAACGTGTCCAGGGCTCTGTAAGCTGCCTTCATCTGCAAATGTAAGAAGAAAACTATGAGTTTCAACGCGCAGAGTAAAGCGGGATGCGAGTCGCGTGAAATTCTCTCTCTCTCTCTCACACACACACACACACACACACCCGTCTGTCTCTCGCTTCGTCTTCTCGTTGTGAAATACACTGAAAAAGAGAAGCGAGAGAGAACGCGTATATCTCTATGCGCGCCGATAAGAGAAAATCCGCCGTCAATGAGAATTATTATTGTCGCCGCAAAAGCCTCTCGGCGAGTTTTGCGCAGCTCGCGCGGATATCTCGCGACGGCAATCATAATCGCACCTTTCCAGATTTCGAGCCGCGACTTTCGCCTTACCATTTTTAGCGATCACGCGCGCCGTCCGTATCCGGATCATTCCGGTGATACTCGGAAATGTGCAGTTTTACACACGTGCGTGTCGTACGGCGATATTTTCGGCTTGATAAATTCCACGCCTCGATCGAGGATCAGTAGTGCGAATCCCGCACGGGGAAAGAGCGCGAGCTGACGGAATTTTCGTCATATTTCTCTCCTTCGTCGCAATTGTACAAACAATTAGTTTTGTACAATCCAATACGGGCAACACAATATTTACCGAAGCAGTTAGACGAGTCTCTTCACTTGCCGCGTGAATAACTTCGTCGTGCGTTTGAATCTCCTCGAGCGGCTGAGTGGGGAATCCCTCCATTCTAATGGAAATGCAATCGATGATACCTACAGTTCCCAGACACCAGATACGCGGATCGGAATGCGTCGAGTGAAATTTTTCGAGCGCTTTTAAACATCTTTTAACATTCTTTTCCATTCGAACGCGATAACGCGGTTGCTCAATAATTGGCTCTTTAACGTATCTGAAAAACTCTATTATCTATTTCAAGCCTGAGGTGCTCAGCGCGATGTTTCGACAGCTTCGAAGGATCACTAATGGACCATTAGTTACAAATTGGTAATTAACACTAAGATAAGACACTCGCTCTGCTCGCCATTCTGCCGGTAATAAACGTGTCGCTGTGGCGACAATCACGTAAGGTCTCACGTAACACGTCACTCACCACGTTCTCGCGGTAAGGACGAACGCGTCGTGTTCGAATCCTCGAATTACAGGTAATTTTACGAAAGCCGCGGCACAAGGAGAGAGAGAGAGAGAGAGGAAGAGAGGAAGAGAGAGAGAGAGAGAGAGAGAACAATGAATCACACACATCGCCGAGGGACGTGTGTCGTTTCGTATGTCGCGTGACACCGACACGTGGCGGCTTACTCACACGGGCGAACTTCCACGGAGATTATCGGGTATGATGATGTATACTATTCCGGTATACTATCGATGGCGTAATATCGCATACACGCTTCCGTTATGTAATGCCGCGGCGGAAAAACGTCGCGAAGGAAAAAACCCGCGTGCGAGCGAGCGATCGCTCCCGATTCTGTCACCGCAGCCGCCGGATTATCTCGCATCCTTGCAATGCGCCATACGAGCGCTGTGTGTGTGTGTGTGTGTGTGTGTGCGCGCTCGTTCGTGTGCACGTTTGCGATCTCGACGTGAGCTATTTCAATACTGGAAAGCAATACGCGGAACAAAGTGCATGTCTGTCACGTGTAACATGACGGTGTCTGTGAGCGCTGCTGCAGCGTATTTCGCCCGCGTATCGCTGCCGTCGCGAGTCTCGCTGTGACACTTCGCGCTCTACTAATTGCGATCTCGCGGTCCTTTGAACATCGTCGCAGCGATGCGTGCGGCTGATTCTTCGGAGAATCGGTGTGGATCTTATTGCGAATCCCGTGGCCGTGGGTCGGGGGGGGGCGGTGGGATATTTATTTATCAATAATAATATACGGGTCTGACCGTAACGTTTGTATAACGAGTAAGAAGATTCTCGTGCAATAAATAAGGGTAAAAAAGTAAAAGAAGAAAAGAAGAAAGAGAATGGCCGGAATGTACAGGCCGAAGCGGGATGCTTTTTGAGATTAGGGAAAATACAGTCAGCCCCATTCGAATTTATGTTGAACGCACGGCAGTTTCCCAGTCGGCCATTCGTGAGTTTTTTTTTTTTATGTATCCGAAACAGTCCGTCTCTGAATTTTACCAGGCCTCAGGCCTGTCGTGAGAAATATTCCGATAATTGAGATTATTAATTGTTAAGAAAAACACAGGTATTTCCCGACGATCGTTAATAATCTAAATTATTCCCGATTGTTGTTCAATTTAGAAGCGACTCGGCGACGGTTTCACGGAAGAATTCGATCGACACTCCTTCCTTTAATCTTTCACGCCAGACATTTCTTGGCGCCTAATACTCGAGCAAAAGTTTGGTGCATGATCGAGGTTAGACAAAAAAATAAGATCTTATTACATACACACACACACACACACACACACACACACACGCACACACACACACACACACACACCGAAAGATACGCCGCTCACGCGCGTTCCGACGCGTTTCTCCGCTGAGAAAGGAAAGACCCAACGAGAAGCATCAATAGAGGAGAACGACCGTGCTAAATACGACGACCTCCTTGGGAATCATTCTACGCGTTTATCTCGCGATAAGCAATTATTTGCACTTTAATTAACCTTCTGGTTTATGCTGACTAATGTCCAAAGGCAGAATTAAGATATCGCCGAGTTTATTAGTGATTTTTAAGTATCCTTGGGAGAAATCGTTTTATCCCTCTTCCCCCCTCCTTCCCCCCTCTCTCTCTCTGTCCTTCTCGAAGCGTGCAGACGGCACGTTCGCGCGTTTCGCATTTTCCGGTACGTGCGGGAACAATATTTTCACCGTGTTCTTGTACACGGTGATGTTACTCAACGATGACGAGAGGACGAGGACACGTCTCGGGTTGTCACAGGTCGTAAGTCGTGCGAGTGGATTATCACGCGAAACTACAATATACGTTGTCGTGTCGATATCACCCGGCAGTTTCCGATAGCACGCGCTCGAGTGCCGGCAAGGCCATCGCACAACGCGTACGCTCTTTATCGCGAGCCCTTGAAAACTCACCCGCTCCTTACGTGCAACATAGCGCGGATATCGAGTCGCTCATAAGTGATAAAAAGGAACACGACTCGCGCTGAGAATTGCACTGCGCTGGCGTCGCGCGCGCGCGTTTCTCTCCTTTTCTAACGTAGTCGCTAATTCATCATTAGCAATCGATCGTTTCGCGGATATCGATTGAGGTTTCACGCCAGCAGGATGTAAATCCCTGCGCGGTAAAAGTGCGGTTGTAGCTTATTTCTATACGAATAACGTCTCAGTGCACGGTGTCCTTTTATCGCATCTCCAATTGCACGTTAACTAATTAGTAATGCGCAATCGGTCAATTTTTTCGCTTTTACCTCGCTAATCACACCTGTCTCTCTGCGATAAACTACGGTAAACGCCACGCGCGATTTCCAGCGGCGAAGTCTCCGCCTGCCGAAGAGAACCCGTCCTCTCTCGAGAACGCCTCTCGTGTCCTCCGCTGCAGGTAAAAAAAGGAGTGGAAAAAAAAGGAAGGAGAAAAAGAAGAGGCCATTTCGCAGGCGCAATCTGCAACTTGGCATTTCACGAATCTCGAATGCCGCGGACACGTCGCGCAAGTTATCCGGCTTACTCCGACTGCTCGCTTGTACGAGTTATTCGTCACGATAGCGAGTTGCGACAGTCGCGTGATCGCATCTGCGAGCGATGGAAATCGGCAAGACCGACAACACCGGCGCCTGATCAATCAAAGGAAGCCTCGCGATTTAATCGTTTTGCAAGCGCGTCTCTCCCTCGACATGCCCCTCCTCTCTCACACACACTCTCGCTCTCTCTTTCTCTCTCTCTCTCTCTCTCTTATACCTTGCACTCCGGAATGCCGTGGTTGACGAGCAAGGCCAATCCTTTCTCGGACAGCGCCCTTAGCAGTTTCGAGGCCACCTGCTTCACGACTCCCTTCTGAGGGCATCTCTCCGTGCCTGCAATCACAAGAAAACACATGAGTGGACGAGCGAGAACGGTGGCGACGCGCCAGGGAGGAGGGTGAGGAGGAGGGGGGGGGGCAGCGAAGGGCGAGGCTGGCGTTGATTTTTCCGAAAAGCCCTCGAGCCTCGAGGCTTCGCTCAACTTGGCGCACCTTGTCCCAGCGGACTTTCGCGACGGTCTTATCCGCCGGTTTCCGCCGGTCGCCGAACACCGCGGTTTGCGAGTAGCCGCTTGAACACCTCGCGGCTCAGATTTCGCCGGCGCGAAGTCGCGGAACAGCCGCGACTGGCCGTCATCGGAGATTAAGTTTCTCGGAGCGCGCGCGCGCGCGCGCTCGGTTTCGCCGATGACGATCGATCGGCCGTTTCGCTGAATGAGCCAAGTTCATTGACACCGGGGGCCGAGTATGAGCGGCGAGTACGAGCGATAGACCGGCGATAGCGAGGCTACGAAACGAGCGAACTCGACTGACAGCCTCCCCCCTCCCCACCCCGCAAGCGAGATCCTCCCGTCCGGAACCGTAAACGCGCGCGCGTAATAAAGACCCGGTATTCGCGGCTCGTATATTTCACGGTTGCACACGCGCGGCTGTATCGCATTCGTAACTCGTTATTCCTCGGGTTTTCAAGGCGGCAGAAAATAAAGCGACGCAAGCGAGGCAAGAAGAAGATGGCCGTGGAATTCGCGCGCGCGCGCTGCTGCGCGCTCGCCACGACGGCGCGTAAACGCACGCACGCACGCACGCATACCGAAACGCAACGTATCACGACGCTTCTCCCGCCTGTCGCCGCGCGCCTTTTTCTTCCGCTTTTTCATGATTTTCTTCGCCTGTCACGAGCGAGCGGCTCACCCGCCGCCGCTCGTTATAATTAGAACTGTCGAAACATATGAAACATACTAATCTCGCTCGCTCGCTCTCTCTCTCTCTCGTGCTATTCTCGAGGCTCCCTCCGCGCTGCTACTCGTTCGCTTCTTTCGTTTCCAAGCGAAATTAACGCGAGGAGCGTCATTACGCGATGGACACGGGAGCGTGTCGCGCGTGTTAACTGCGTCGTCGCATCGGCTAACGAAAATCGAAAAAGGTCAACGGCGAGCCTTGAAGCGCGAGGTCATGTTCTCGAGAAAGCGTTGTCGCCGGGTCCCGCGCGCGAGCCCGTCGTCGTGTCGTAACGAGATCCGTCCGTGAACGAACGGAGGAGAAATAACGAACGTACGCACACACCATATATGCGTATCGCGCCGGCGATTATTACACGAACATTCTCTCTCTCTCTCTCTCTCTCCTCCCTCGCTGTCGCTCTTTCCCTCCAGCGCCCGCCTGCCGTCTGCCTCGATTAACTTTTGTTCTCGGTTATATCGCGCCTTATATAACGTACCGTGAAAATCACCTTTCGAGCTCTCGTCGTCGTCGTCGTCGTCGTCGTCGTCGTCGCGGTCCCTGCGCTGACGTGAGCTGCACGTAATGATTCACGGTCGGATTTTTTAATAAGCTGCTCTGACTAATTCGCTGTCGGAAAAAATGTCGGACGATACGTCATCGTCGGTTCTTCGGCTTTCTTTCCGACGCGATCACGCGACAATCCGACGTCGGAGCGACGCGAATATTCAAGCAGAATGGGAAGCGACGTTTCGTGCGTGAGAGAGGTGACTCCGATCATCACCGTCGTCGTCGAGGAGCAGAAGGAGGAGATACATCGGCCGCCCGCGGTGCAGCGATTCAATAAATTCGCCGACGTGCTCCTCGCGCGCTCGACGTCAACAGGCGAGACACAAAAATGTGGGTTCTTCCCGCTTTGTTCCGCGCTATTTCGGCGGCGACGCGACGTAATCGCGACGACAAAGTCAAAAGCGAGAGAAGGGCCGCGGCGGCTTTCGTTTCGGCGGCCGTTCGCGCGGCATACATCGGCAACGGGCGTCTCGCCAAAATCGCCTCGTGAGAAAAAAGACGAGAGCCAGAGTGAGAGAGAGAGAGAGAGAGAGAGAGAGAGGCAGGAAGAAAGAAAGAGAGAGACGGTCGGCGGTCGCCGCGCCGACAAAGTCGTATTAATAACGCGAAACTATAAGAGAGACGCCGATCTTTAATAATAGACTCGATGTACCTAATCTCGCGATTGCGGGGCGCGACGGCTGTTTGACGCCTGAATCTTGATTGATGATGTGTACGTCTTCGTTCCGTTCGTCTTCCTCCCTCGCGCGCTCGGCAAGGCATTTTCGAAACCTTCGGCCGAGCGGGACAAGGACCGTCGGCGACACGTGGCCGAGGAACGTACGCATCATACGCGTCGCCGGCGGACCTCGCTCCGTCGAATTATTCATAATCACGCGATAAATCACTCTTATGATGTTTATAAACATCGTTCGTCATTGTTATACCGTAGCGTCAGCCGATCAGCCGCGCGAGTCTGTCACCGCGCGAAGATGGATTTGCTCCCTCTTGATTTTCTAGTCAACCGGATCGATCGATTCGCCTCTTCATTCCGCGACGCACAGTGGGGCCAGATGATATTTTTTGGCTCGCGAATTCTCTAGGGACCTGAATAAATCCAACGGATGAGGTTGATCCTGAATAAATTCCAAAGAGATCTGTCTAGCCGAGATATTTTGAAAAAATTATCGGTTCAGGGTTCGTGGGTTTAGGGTTTGTCTTAAAAGTTTCGAGGCTCGAACTTAATGTTTTATAGCTGAATATTTAACGTCGAGTATTATGAGGTATTTCGAGCTATGGCTAGATTGGGTTCTTGGACTGTTTGGAGCTCTTAATACGTATGTACGGCTTCATGCATCCACGAGCTAAAAAGTTCTCGGATTGATAGATTCCTAGGTTGATGGACTTTAGACTCAACATCCCTCGGTTTTGTGCTAACGGGTCTATATTTGATGTTTTTGTATTTTGGGCATATGAGTTTTGAGTTAATGGGTTTCTGGTTCAAGATCGATAAATCTCGAGGTGTCTGTTGATCGATTTCATAGTATCAATCCGCTGATTACGCTATTAGATAGAAATAAGTGTCGAATAATGAATATTTCACAAGTTTCTCGCGACAATTTCAACGATAATTTTTCCTCTTTTGGGGCTAGTAATTCGAGAAAAAAATTCTTCTTTAAATTTCGGCAAGACAGATCTCATCGGAACTTATTCAGGATCAACCACTCATCCATTGGTGTCGATGATCGGTTGGAAATTCAGGTCTCTAGAGAATTTTCAACCAAAGAATCCCATCTGGCCCCACTGTGCGACGGTCCTCAAGCGACAATTTCGTCGCTCGAGAGGTCACGTATTATTCGCGGGGCTAGTAACAAGAGAAAAAGAACGCGCGAGACATTAATGCCGTTGATTACCGCGCGCGCGCGGTAAGGAGATAATCACGTCAACGGCACGGGGCTCTCTGATACGCACTTGACGATGAACACACGGCGCGGGCGCGGGCGCGGGCGGCGGCGGAGGATCGCCGAGGAAACTTGATTCAACTTGGAAAGTGCGACAGCTGATACGCGAGACGGCTAAAAATATGCCCCTGAAAACGTGCGTCTCGGCGGGCGTGCGGGTTAACGACACGGGTGCGGGCAGGGCCGAGACGCTTGACGTTGACGTGAGACGCACTTTTTGCCGCGGATTTACCGGATTTACCCGCTCGCCGGCGGAAATCGCCTCCTCCCCTTTCCCTTTTCATGCCGATACCGCCGCCGTATGCGCGATACGACATCGTCACGACGACGACGACGACGACGACGCATCCTTGGTCGGCGCGGTTAACGGCCGCGGCCAAAGACGCGGAACCGTTTCTAGGGTGCGTGTATAGAGAAAATATTCGCTAGTTTCTCCTGGTAGCGAGACGAACTCCCCCGATACTTTCGCCCGGTGTGTGTAACGATCGAATATACCGTTACCGGATGTCGAGTCCGAAGGTGCGTGAAATGTAGTCTGCGTCGGCGACGTTACGCGCGTTTCTTCTTAGGTGCTCGCACGCCTCTGTGCTGTCGATCAGTCGGCATGGACAATGTCCGAGGATACCGCGAGAATACTCTCTTCAAGGTACGAGCGCGGAGAGACTGCTTTCTCCTCAGACTCACACGCGTCTATAGTCAGGGACAAAGGATAAAGGAGAAAATTAAGAGGATAAGAGAAGTAGGACGGCCCACACACAGGATATTCGCAGAGTAATCTCTCGGGGAAATAACAAGGAAGAAACACGACGCATATTTGTGAAATCGGCCGTGCTCCTTCTCTCTCTCTCTCTCTCCCTCCTACCTTCTCTCCTTATCTCTTAATATTTTCCTCATCCGAAACGGTCAAGTCACTCCGCTCCCCACGCAGGATTACTCCATTTTCGATCGCTTGCGACGTCGTGATTCGCACAGTCGCACGGCGCGACTGCGGGAACACGTAAGATTTGCAGGAAGTTGTTTGATAAACCTGCGAAATTTACATAAAATACATGGCTAATCTTCCTTGCTGTTACGTGAGCTCGAGGAGACTGCGAGGAATCCACGTTTCGTGGAAGTTTCCCGCATGAACATGCACGCGTGTGCATGTGTACGTCTACGTCTACACGTGTACGTTGCAAACCGCATCGACCTATCTCCGTACGTGATAGTAGAAGTCTACCATCACGAGAGATGCGATAACGAGTCATCTCTCGATGCGATCTTAATGATATTCAATTCACGCGCGTCGCGTTGATTTACGCGAAGAAGATGAGAGTGCGCGACGACGACGCGCGCCTCGTTCTTTTCCGGCTGAGGTTTCTCGGTCAATCGAGAGCCCCGACCCGACCGAATTCGCGAGAATCATTTGTCTCCAGGTAAGTAGTATATCTCGGAACGGCGCAAATTCCACATACCCACCTCCCGCCGCCGTTTATTCAATCAACATTCGCGACTCGCTGCAAAAAAAAGCTACGAGCGACAGCAGACGGCGTTATCAATTCCAACCGAGCAACCAATGGTGTGATACCAACGGTACTTCCAACTATGCATTCGCGTCATCGTCGCG